CTGCATCTGTTTAAAAAACGTTAAGAAAAACTATTCATTTATTTGTTATCCTTCTCAGTTAACTGAACAATATGATCAAAATGGATGAAGAAATATATTTAATTCATCCAGTGTTAAGGCACATGGCACACACAGGATCATTTGGTAAAGGCTGGTATGATTTATGAAAAGACAAAGGCAGCAAACAGTCGTCTTAAAAACACAAGTACAGAAGAACATCAAGAAAACCATGAAGACTGCTTAAAACATCCCTGCAATTCAGGAACATGCACTTACTTTAAGTGTATATGGCTTAAAGAGAGCATCACAATATGGACGCTGACACTTTGAGATGGTTTACCTTCATCTAAACTGAAGAATATAATAATGTTGAGTAACAAAAGATTTTGCTTTGGTATGGTTGCAACAAGTAACACTTCCATTTCAATATTCTACAATAAGACAAACAGTATAGGGAAAAAAAAAATTTTTTGCAAATAAATTGTAAGAATATCATATGGAATGACCTGTTTTACATCAACTGTGAAAAAGAAACCATCATTCAAAAATAATTTACAAAATCCACTTCTTGGTGTATTATTTGGCTTGTTAAAACAGTTCTCTGCATATTGGAATGTGACAGTTGATTACAAGTAGGAAACAAGTATCCACTTTTGCAGCCATAATCTCAATAGTCTAAGTAACTTTTAGTTCTCAATGGCACCCTATTCCCAATGGGTCCAGGTCTAAAGTAGTGCACTATGTAGAGAATAGGGTGTCATTTGGGACGCAGGCTGGTAACTTGTACGGCCGGGAAGACACCAGCAAGAAAGCAAAACACTAAACATGTCACTTCTTTAGGAAAACAGCCCTAATGTTGGAAACAAACATCAGCATGTTGTCATCCAGGGTCACATGTATTTATTTTCCAAGCTAAAGCACACAATATTTTACATACAGCAGGTTTTTTTTAAAAGGACCAAAGAGTTCGGTCTGCTTCGTGTTTTCATTTTGACATTGCGATACTGGTATCGTCCCAGCCCTAATAACCTATAGCGCTCATTGAATTTCTCCCACAAAACACACATAACATCATCAACAGAGGTCTGTCCAAGAATGTCTTGTAGTGCAAACTTTGGCAGTTTCTTTAATGCTTAATTAAGAGCTTTATGCTAGTTCTCTCAGCTGAGTAGAACTAGCATACAATAGCAGCGCTAGAGAACTAAAGCTTCACACTGTCCACAGACACGGAGGGCTGAACTAACATGCAAGCAGAGCTTAGAGTGGATCTGCCTGAACATAGAGAGAAAAATACCTAGTTGAGAAAAACACTGCTCCGTTTACTGCAGACCTAGCCGAGTGGTTGAGGTATGCGATGGTCACATGTCCCACATCACACAGATCCCACAGAGAGCATTTGATGGTTCTACTCCTCATCATGGGGTCTGGGAAGATTCAGTCAAGCCCATAAGGGTCCAGTTGTAGTCAGATAAAACAGTACTGTAATGAAACCAGCCCAGACTGTATCTACATATTCTACTGGGTAGGAAGGCTAGGAATAAACATTAGATATCCAGACAAACAAGTGTGCTATATTTCATTTTAGAACTAGAACAGCCCTCGTCTCATTCTAGAACTGCCCTCGTCTCATTCTAGAACTGCCCTCGTCTCATTCTAGAACTCCCCTTGTCTTCTGTTAATCTGCCTACTGTAACATATTCCTCTGGCTTTAGATATTCCAGATATGAATAACGTTTCTCTGACCTCAAGTTGCTCTACACACAGACAAAGAAGGCATTTCTTGCCATTCTGTAGCAATAGAAATCAACTATGGTTACCTTCACAAAAAAAACTATGTAACTTATATAAATATGAAATGTAGGAACAGTATATCCACATAATTAGGTATATCTATAATCTATTTTAGGAACTGAGCGACATTCAGATGGTTCATATAAAAAGGCCTGTTCTGTGGCCCTGCTGTGCACTGCAGATAGAGGTGCAGATCCAGGTTGCTACTCAGGTTCAGATTCAAGGTCAAGCTTCAAGATTTACTGGGATACCTAGGTTATCCTGCCCTGTGCCATCACTTCTAGATTTACTGGGATACCTAGGTTATCCTGCCCTGTGACATCACTTCTAGATTTACTGGGATACCTAGGTTATCCTGCCCTGTGACATCACTTCTAGATTTACTGGGATACCCTAGGTTATCCTGCCCTGTGACATCACTTCTAGATTTACTGGGATACCCTAGGTTATCCTGCCCTGTGACATCACTTCTAGATTTACTGGGATACCTAGGTTATCCTGCCCTGTGACATCACTTCTAGATTTACTGGGATACCCTAGGTTATCCTGCCCTGTGACATCACTTCTAGATTTACTGGGATACCCTAGGTTATCCTGCCCTGTGACATCACTTCTAGATTTACTGGGATACCCTAGGTTATCCTGCCCTGTGCCATCACTTCTAGATTTACTGGGATACCCTAGGTTATCCTGCCCTGTGCCATCACTTCTAGATTTACTGGGATACCCTAGGTTATCCTGCCCTGTGCCATCACTTCTAGATTTACTGGGATACCCTAGGTTATCCTGCCCTGTGCCATCACTTCTAGATTTACTGGGATACCCTAGGTTATCCTGCCCTGTGCCATCACTTCTAGATTTACTGGGATACCCTAGGTTATCCTGCCCTGTGCCATCACTTCTAGATTTACTGGGATACCCTAGGTTATCCTGCCCTGTGACATCAGTTATCTCTGGGGAGTTAGAAAGCCCCTAAAATCTCTCTACTGACATCATGTTTTACAGGCCAGCTTTCAGTAACAACTGATGTTACAGGACAGCTTTCAGTTACAACTGATGTTATAGGCCAGCTGTCAGTAACAACTGATGTTACAGGCCAGCTTTCAGTAACAACTGATGTTACAGGCCAGCTTTCAGTAACAACTGATGTTACAGGCCAGCTTTCAGTAACAACTGATGTTACAGGCCAGCTTTCAGTAACAACTGATGTTACAGGACAGCTTTCAGTAACAACTGATGTTACAGGACAGCTTTCAGTAACTGTTAAAGGCACATGACTTGTGAAAAGCAGCCTTATAAACAAGCAGGTAGCACTGGCTGCATCAAGCCTTGCTTACAGTCCATAAAAGGAGGAACATTGAAAGGCAGGTAGCCTAGCGGTTAAGAGTGTTGGGCCAGTAACCGAAAGGTCGCTGGCTCTAATCCCCGAAATGACTAGGGGAAAAATCTGTCGACGTGCCCTTGAGCAAGGAACTTAAACATTATTGCTCCAGGGTCGCCGTCAATAATGGCTGATCCCAGGCCTTGACCCCACTCTCCCTAACCCTAACCCTGTGTCTCAGGGGGAGTGGGATGTGCAAAAACCACATTTCCAATTCACATGAATAATACACTCTTGTACATGTGTGAAATAGGACAAATGTAACTTATTATGCTTATTAACATTGAAGAGCAATGCCGCCTGGACTCTAGATACAGGGTGAATAGGTTACCAGGCCTAGATACAGGGTGAATAGGTTACCAGGCCTAGCTGAGGGGATGGATATGAAGCAGAGCAGTAGCGCTCATCAAAGACGAGAAATTATTCAAAAAACCCACTGATAACAGAATGCCTATGGTCTGCTCTCTGGTTTTGACATAAAGGACATCTTTCTTCCAAAAGTTCTAATAAACACAGACAGTCCAGTTGCATAAATTCTACTCTGAAAACAAATACAAAATATATATATACTTTGCTTAAAGGCCCAGTGCAAAATGTGATTTTCCTGTGATTTACCAGCCAGTTTATTAGGTACAACACCATGGATCCCACCTACAGCGGGCACACCGGCAGCAAGGTATTCAGTTACTGTTCAATTGAATGTTAGATTGGGCAAAGCGAGTGACCTAAGCGTCTTTGAGGTATGATCGTCGGTGCCACTCACTCCAGATCCAGTATCTCAGAACCAACCTCCCTCCATGCCATCAGGCCAGCATGGACCAGAACCAACCTCCCTCCATGCCATCAGGCCAGCATGGACCAACCTCCCTCCATGCCATCAGGCCAGCATGAACCAACCTCCCTCCATGCCATCAGGCCGGCATGGACCAACGTCCCTGTGGAATGTTTCCAACACCTTTTAGAATCCCACAAAGAATTCAGGCTGTTCTGGAGGCAAGGGGGGTCCAACTCTGTACTAAATGGGTGTACCTAATAAACTGTCCGGTGAGTGTATATTTCCACACTATGATATTGGAATAATACTGTGAAATTGTGAAAATGATAATGCCCTTTTAGTGAAAAAGCTGTTTGAAAAGACCGCCTGAAATGTCAGCCTGTTTTGGTGGGATGGAGTTTTGGCCTGCCTGGTGACATCACCAGACCCCTCCCCACTCAGACCCCTCCCCACTCAGACCCCTCCCCACTCAGACCCCTCCCCACTCAGACCCCTCCCCACTCAGACCCCTCCCCACTCAGACCCCTCCCCACTCAGACCCCTCCCCACTCAGACCCCTCCCCACTCAGACCACTCCCCACTCAGACCACTCCCCACTCAGACCCCTCCCCACTCAGACCCCTCCCCACTCAGACCACTCCCCACTCAGACCACTCCCCACTCAGACCACTCCCCACTCAGACCCCTCCCCACTCAGACCACTCCCCACTCAGACCACTCCCCACTCAGACCACTCCCCACTCAGACCACTCCCAGACAGTCCTAGCTAAATTCTTGCTTGAGAAATTGCTATTTTCAAAGAAGCTATTTTTGTTTCCTTTTGACCCTTTTAATTGAAAACAATCACAGTAAGGTAGTTAACTGTTACCCAGAAATGATTTGATATTGAGATAAAAGCGGCTGCATTGGACCTTTAACTTAAAACATCTAATGTACATGATAATGATGATAACTTTTATAAAATAATCCTCTTGAAAAATAGAATACAATTCAATAGAGCTATCATGCAAATCTGAGTGAAATACTATAACAGATATTAAAGACTATAATACATCAGTGTTCTTTGGGACAGGTGGGCGTGGCCTGGTTGTGGGCGTGGTCTGGTCTGTCTGCAGGGGGGAGGAGCCTGTGGTCAGGTGGTCTGTGTGGCGTAGTGTCATAGTTCCGTCTGTAGGCCGCAGACTGGGAACCACCAGCAGGGGGCAGAGTCAGGTGGATGGTCTCTGACTGGGGTGTGGCCAATGAAGGCGTGGCCAAGAGAGGTGTGGCTAACAGGGGTGTGGTCAGAAGGGGTGTGGAGGTGATCAAGCTGGACAAACTCAGGTCCGAGGGATCAAGAAGAGTAATGTCCTGACAGTCATTGTCCTGGGTGAGAGGGGCCTGGAGGTCATCAGGCCCAGCCCCAGCCGTACTCCCAGCCCCGGCCCCAGCCCCTGCTCCAGCCCCTGCTCCGGCCCCAGCCCCTGCTCCAGCCCCTGCTCCGGCCCCAGCCCCTGCTCCAGCCCCTGCTCCGGCCCCAGCCCCTGCTCCAGCCCCTGCTCCGGCCCCAGCCCCTGCTCCAGCCCCTGCTCCGGCCCCAGCCCCTGCTCCAGCCCCTGCTCCGGCCCCAGCCCCTGCTCCAGCCCCTGCTCCGGCCCCAGCCCCTGCCTCAGGCTGAGGAGCTTCTTTGACTTTGGTATAAGGCAGAGTATCCATCTCTGTGGAGGCCAGTGTGTACTGATCATCTTCTTCAAGGCTCCTCTTAGTGTCTCCAGGACTGCCAGAGCCCCAGCCCTTCCCCTGAGCCTTCCCAGTCTCATCCCTCTGTAAGGACAGGTCCAGACGGCCCTCAGGGCTATTGGCCGGGCCCCTGGTGAAGCTGTGCTGGTTCTGGGTGGAGGTGGCCCTGTGACTGTAGTCTTTAGGGAAGGGTCCAGTGAAGGAAAGTGAAGACAGGAAGGGCGGTCTGAGACTCAGAAGTGACCCGGCCTGGACCCGACTGAGGATGTTTCTGCGGGTGTCACTGGGCAGTTTGTCCAGCTGCCTGCCGACCTGGACTGGACTGGGGAACAGAGAGCTCTGACACGCCCTGCAGAAGTATCTGAACGGAGAGCGAGAGGAGAAATGAGTCAGGGTGAGCCCTAAATTAAACCATACTCTCTATGTAGTGCACTACTTTTGAATAAAGCCCTATGGATGCCTACTTTTGACCAGATTGCACAATTGGCTGAATCTCAAACTGAACACTCCATCACTCCATATGCCCGTTCACGAGTCAATCTTAAAAACTAGTTGTCGAGTTATCGAGGGCTCCACCGAGCCCTTCGCAAGCCTCTCTATCGAGTGGGCATCCTTTGTAGACTCTGCATCCTTGGCAGAAACTCAGCATGTCACCTAGCAACAACAGTCAAAACTACTTAGCCATCAAAAATAGTCAGAATAAGTCAACATAAATCAAGAAATCTGTAATTCATTTGGAAGTTTTTGCAGAGGTCTTAGTGGAGAGTCATTTTGTTTTCTGTCCTGCCCATGTTTCATATTGAGTCATGCTAGTACTAGACAGGTCCCAGAAGAATGCTCACAAATGGATTTAGAATTTTTGAACCTCGAGTGCGCATCGTTTCAATGCTCATTTTGGCCAAACTCGAGTGATCACTATCGAACACATCAGCAAGTGGCCACTTGATAAAGTGCTTAGGGGCCAAAGGTTAGGTTTGAGATTCAGCCACCTGTATAAAGTGCACTACTTTTATTCCCTATATGGGCCCTGGCGCCCCAGTCAAAAGTAGTGCACTATACAGGGAATAGGGTGCCATTCTCTGGTCTAAAGTAGTGCACTATATAGGGAATAGGGTGCCATTCTCTGGTCTAAAGTAGTGCACTATACAGGGAATAGGGTGCCATTCTCTGGTCTAAAGTAGTGCACTATACAGGGAATAGGGTGCCATTCTCTGGTCTAAAGTAGTGCACTATATAGGGAATAGGGTGCCATTCTCTGGTCTAAAGTAGTGCACTATATAGGGAATAGGGTGCCATTCTCTGGTCTAAAGTAGTGCACTCTATAGGGAATAGGGTGCATTCTCTGGTCAAATAGTGCACTATATAGGGAATAGGGTTGCCATTCTCTGGTCTAAAGTAGTGCACTATATAGGGAATAGGGTGCCATTCTCTGGTCTAAAGTAGTGCACTATATAGGGAATAGGGTGCCGTTTGGGACGTAGCCCGAGACATCAGGACACACTTAGACAGACCAGACGGACAGAACAGCGCATTTCTGGGATGGAATAACCAGTTCCTTGGAATAAACATGAAAAGGCTGTTATTGATAACAGATGACTCTTAAACAACAACATAAACCTGGAGGAATGATTGGTTGTGCACACCCCACATGTTCTCTCTCATACACCCCCCCCCCCTTACTAACCTGGGCAGCAGGGCGGCTACAGGCGTGACCACACAGAGCAGGTAGAAGAGCGGTTCCCCCAGAAGTCTCTGCATGGTCCAGTAAGGGTTGGAAGGGGAGTAGCATGTGGGACAGGAGGCATTGTAACACAGAGCCACAGTAAAGAACAGACCCACACTGAAGGAGATGGACAGCCAGTTCATCCAGGTCTGGAGGGAAAACAGGGGGGGAGAGGAAAGAGGAGGGAGAGGAGGGGGAGAGGAGGAAGAGGGGAGAGAGGGAGAGAAGAGAGGAGGAAGAGGTGGAGAGGATTTCCCGGGGCAGACGGGTGGAGAGGGGGAGAGGGGAGTGGGGAGAGGAAGGGATGGGCGGACTGGAGAGAGAGGGGACTTGAGCGGGGAGGAGGGGGGAGGGGAGGGGAGAGGAGGGGAGAGAGAGGGGATGGGGACGAGGGGAGAGGGGGGAGGTCAGGGGTGGGAGGGAGGGGAGAGGGGAGGAGGGAGAGGTGGAGATGGGGGAGAGAGGGGAGGGGAGAGGGGAGGGGGAGGGGATGCAGTGGGTGAGGTGGGAGGTGGGTGGGGGAGGGTGGGATGGGGGAGAGGAGAGGGGAAGAGGGTTGGAGGGATGCGATGAGGGGGTGGGGCGAGATGGGGGGGAGGTGGTGTAGGTGGGTATGAAGAGGGGAGGGGGTAGATGGAGGTATGAGGGGGGGGTGGAGGACGACGGGGATTGGGAGGGGATGAGAGGGGAGGATGGATGGTGGGGGTGTGTTTGTGGAGGGTGGGAGCGAGGAGTCTGCATGAAGAAAAGGGTATGGTCGGATGGGAGGGATGGTGGAGAGGAGGGGATGTGGGGGCGGGGGGATGTTGGGGGAGGATAGAGGGTGAGAGGGGATGGGGTAGAGCCGCGAGAGTAGACTTAGGAGGTGGGGAGAAGAGGGAGGGGGTGTGGAAAGGGATGAGAGGGGAGCGGAGAGAGGGGGAACGGGATTAGAGCTCAAAGCCAGTGCGCAAGGACCCAAACCACTGACTGACTCACTATCTAGGATCTGTCCTAAATGGTACTCTATTCCATATGTAGGGCACTCTATTCCATATGTAGGGCACTATATTCCATATGTAGGGCACTATATTCCATATGTAGGGCACTATATTCCATATGTAGGGCACTATATTCCATATGTAGGGCACTATATTCCATATGTAGGGCACTATATTCCATATGTAGGGCACTATATTCCATATGTAGGGCACTATATTCCATATGTAGGGCACTATATTCCATATGTAGGGGCACTATATTCCATATGTAGGGCACTATATTCCATATGTAGGGCACTATATTCCATATGTAGGGCACTATATTCCATATGTAGGGCACTCTATTCCATATGTAGGGCACTATATTCCATATGTAGGGCAGTATATTCCATATGTAGGGCACTATATTCCATATGTAGGGCACTATATTTGACTAGGGCCCACAACCAATAAGCTGCCATTTGGGATGCATGCAGACTCACCATCGGCCATATTATTGGCCTTTTATGAAAGGAATGTTTAATCTGATGGTCAAGATGGCCGAAACATCAGTCATATTTTACTCCTCTTAATAAAGGAGTTTTTAAAACTTAAAGAGCAAGAGTTGCTCCTCTTTCCCCTTTCTGAATCTAAAACTCCTCTTTCCCCTTTATGAATCTAAAACATTGGCACCTAACTACTACATTTTTCATGTTACAAAATGTGTTGGGATGAAATTTACAGCTACCAGCGTAATGGAAAAAGCGCTAATCCCATTCAAGGTCACTGCTCTTAACTGAGAGCATCTGAGCCTTTGTCCCAAATGGCACCCTATTCCCTATATAGTGCACTACTTTTGACCAGGGCCCAGGTCATTTCACTCAGGACCCTGTTCAAAAGAAGTGCACTACATAGGGAATAGGGTGCCATTCTCTGGTCTAAAGTAGTGCACTATATAGGGAATAGGGTGCCATTCTCTGGTCTAAAGTAGTGCACTACATAGGGAATAGGGTGCCATTCTCTGGTCTAAAGTAGTGCACTATATAGGGAATAGGGTGCCATTCTCTGGTCTAAAGTAGTGCACTACATAGGGAATAGGGTGCCATTCTCTGGTCTAAAGTAGTGCACTACATAGGGAATAGGGTGCCATTCTCTGGTCTAAAGTAGTGCACTATATAGGGAATAGGGTGCCATTCTCTGGTCTAAAGTAGTGCACTACATAGGGAATAGGGTGCCATTTGGGATGTGACCTTAGAAGGCAGGAGATGGACACATGGATACAGCAAAAAACGAAAAGGTTATTTTGGCCGCCTTGCCTGTGTGATGTGCGTGTGTGTGTGTGTGTGTGTGTGTGTGTGTGTGTGTGTGTGTGTGTGTGTGTGTGTGTGTGTGTGTGTAGACAGTTTGCAGAAGGCACTAGCTGGACAGTGGGAGTGACTGATGCTGCAGTCTTCTGGTTCAATCTAATCAACGACACCTCAGAAATATCTATCTGCTTGTTGTCAGCCACCTGCTAGACCCAGCTAGTCACAGAGCCAAAGAGCTGGTCTCATTGCTAGAAAGGAGGTATATCTATTCATTAACATCCTAACGAAAGGCTTTTATTCAGCCAAAAAAAAAAAACTCTGTCCATGTCCAAAACGCTTCATTAGATTTCCAATCAATTGATTTACAAAGTAGCCCCAATATTTTGTAATTGAAGCTTTGAAAAGATGTGAAAGTAAGTAGGATCAGCCAGTCCGTAAATCCATAGTGTGTCGTTACCCAGGTCTTGGTCTCCATGCCCAGGTGAATCAGTATGGTAAACAGAGACAGGGTGGTGATGGGGGTTCCCCAGGTCAACAAGTCCACGTCAGAGTCAGCATAGGCCTGGAGGAGATGGACACACACAGAGGGATGAGCGGTGTGTGTGTGTGTGTGTGTGTGTGTGTGAGAGAGTGAGTGTGAGTGTGAGTGTGAGTGTGAGAGAGAGAGAGAGAGAGAGAGAGAGAGAGAGAGAGAGAGAGAGAGAGAGAGAGAGAGAGAGTGAGTGAGATAGGTTATAAGATGTCATGACAGGGTTTATTAGCTACAAAATACCCAACTCACACAGTATGGTATTAAGAAGCAGACCAGGCTTTGGTAGAAGGCATCTATCATGTTCATCCAGAACATATACGGCTTGTACTCCTGAAACACAAAACACCTGAGCATTTCACTACAACCTCAAAGCAGCAGCCACCGAGACGGAGGGTTCTAAAACAGAATCAGCTGGGTATGATGTCATAAGACGTCTGTCTAATAGAGCTGTATAAAAGTTACGATTCGTGACCAATATAACATGTTTCTCCGAGACCCGTCGGATCATTCCGGCGATTGTGATAGGGAGTTCGATGGTGAGGCATATATCTGTACCTGGGGCAAAGACTTTGTGTTTTCCTGGGGCAAATGTTCAGGATATCACCAGGTTGCTTCCCGAGGCTGTGAGTCAGTCACCGGGGGCTGATACTGTCATGGTTCATGTGGGGTCAGATGACATTATGAAAGGCAGCTCAGAACAGCTGAAGATGGATTTTAAAGAACTGATTGGGTCTCTACTTGACACCAACAAACGCCCCATAATATCTGGCCCTCTGCCCTCCCTAAATCGTGGCGTTGAACGTTTCAGAAGACTTTTAGCCCTCCATAACTGGCTACGAGACTATTGCAGCTCTGTGGGTGTAACATTTATTGACAATTTTGATACCTTCTGGAAACAAAGCTCATATTATAAAGGATGGAATCCACCCAATTCATCTGAGTTCCTGGATACCTTCACAGCATTATAAGGCTGCGTTGAATGGTGCGAAAAGTGCAAATCAATCCCAGAACAGCAGCAAAGGACCTTGTGAAGACGCTGGAGGAAACAGGTACAAAAGTATCTATATCCACAGTAAAACGAGTCCTATATTGACATAACCTGAAAGGCCGCTCAGCAAGAAAGAAGCCACTGCTCCAAAACCGTCATAAAAAAGCCAGACTACGGTTTGCAACTGCACATGGGGACAAAGATCGTACTTTTTTGAGAAATGTCCTCTGGTCTGATGAAACAAAAATATAACTGTTTGGCCATAATGACCATCGTTATGTTTGGAGGAAAAAGGGGGTACTTGCAAACCGAAGAACACCATCCCAACCGTGAAGCACAGGGGTGGCAGCATCATGCTGTGGGGGTTCTTTGCTGCAGGAGGGACTGGTGCACTTCACAAAATAGATGGCATTATGAGGAAGGAAAAGTATGTGGATATATTGAAGCAACTTCTCAAGACATCAGTCAGGAAGTGAAAGCTTGGTCGCAAATGGGTCTTCCAAATGGACAATGACCCCAAGCATACTTCCAAAGTTGTGGCAAAATGGCTTAAGGACAACAAAGTCAAGGTATTGGAGTGGCCATCACAAAGCCCTGACTTCAATCCTATAGAACATTTTTGGGCAGAACTGAAAAGGCGTGTGCGAGCAAGGAGGCCTACAAACCTGACTCAGTTACACCAGCTCTGTCAGGAGGAATGGGCCAAAATTCACCCAACTTATTGTGGGAATCTTGTGGAAGGCTACCCGAAATGTTTGACCCAAGTTAAACAATTTAAAGGCAATGCTACCAAATACTAAATGAGTGTATGTAAACTTCTGACCCACTGGGAATGTGATGAAATAAATAAAAGCTGAAATAAATCACTCTCTCTACTATTATTCTGACATTTCACATTCTTAAAATAAAGTGGTGATCCTTACTGACCTAAAACAGGGAATTTTTACTGGGATTAAATGTCAGGAATTATGAAAAACTTCAGTTTAAATGTATTTGGCTAAAGTGTATGTAAACTTCCGCCTTCAACTGTATATATCTTTATTATTATTATTATTATATATATATTTTTAATAGATACTAGACAAGATAATCACAATATCATAAAATACCATGTTAATACCTTAAAAGATCTTAATTATATATTTTATCTATTATATCTGTTTTATTCACTAAAGTTATAAACAATTTATTCACGTTATCTATTTACTTTACACATCGACATGACGGTTCGGACCTCTGAGTTCTGTCCGTTCATGTAGAGCTGACGTAGTTATAATCTATCACTCGTTATTAACAACATATCCAATAGTTGATATAATCTATCACTAGTTATTAACAACATATCCAATAGTTGATATAATCTATCACTAGTTATTAACAACATATCCAATAGTTGATATAATCTATCACTCGTTATTAACAACATATCCAATAGTTGATATAATCTATCACTCGTTATTAACAACATATCCAATAGTTGATATAATCTATCACTAGTTATTAACAACATATCCAATAGTTTGATATAATCTATCACTAGTTATTAACAACATATCCAATAGTTGATATAATCTATCACTAGTTATTAACAACATATCCAATAGTTGATATAATCTATCACTAGTTATTAACAACATATCCAATAGTTGATATAATCTATCACTAGTTATTAACAACATATCCAATAGTTGATATAATCTATCACTAGTTATTAACAACATATCCAATAGTTGATATAATCTATCACTAGTTATTAACAACATATCCAATAGTTGATATAATCTATCACTAGTTATTAACAACATATCCAATAGTTGATATAATCTATCACTCGTTATTAACAACATATCCAATAGTTGATATAATCTATCACTCGTTATTAACAACATATCCAATAGTTGATATAATCTATCACTCGTTATTAACAACATATCCAATAGTTGATATAATCTATCACTAGTTATTAACAACATATCCAATAGTTGATATAATCTATCACTAGTTATTAACAACATATCCAATAGTTTGATATAATCTATCACTAGTTATTAACAACATATCCAATAGTTGATATAATCTATCACTAGTTATTAACAACATATCCAATAGTTTGATATAATCTATCACTAGTTATTAAACAACATATCCAATAGTTGATATAATCTATCACTCGTTATTAACAACATATCCAATAGTTGATATAATCTATCATCGTTATTAACAACATATCCAATAGTTGATATAATCTATCACTCGTTATTAACAAACATATCCAATAGTTGTATAATCTATCACTCGTTATTAACAACATATCCAATAGTTGATATAATCTATCACTAGTTTATTAACAACATATCCAATAGTTGATATAATCTATCACTAGTTTATTAACAACATATCCAATAGTTTGATATAATCTATCACTAGTTATTAACAACATATCCAATAGTTGATATAATCTATCACTAGTTATTAACAACATATCCCAATAGTTGATATAATCTATCACTAGTTTATTAACAACATATCCAATAGTTGATATAATCTATCACTAGTTATTAACAACATATCCAATAGTTGATATAATATATCACTAGTTATTAACAACATATCCAATAGTTGATATATCTATCACTAGTTATAACAACATATCCAATAGTTGATATAATCTATCACTCGTTATTAACAACATATCCAATAGTTGATATAATCTATCACTAGTTATTAACAACATACCAATAGTTGATATAATCATCACTCGTTATTAACAACATATCCATAGTTGAATAATCTATCACTAGTTATTAACAACACTATCCAATAGTTGATATAATCTATCACTAGTTATTAACAACATATCCAATAGTTGATATAATCATCACTAGTTATTAACAACATATCCAATAGTTGATATAATCTATCACTAGTTATTAACAACATATCCAATAGTTTGATATAATCTATCACTAGTTATTAACAACATATCCAATAGTTGATATAATCTATCACTAGTTATTAACAACATATCCAATAGTTGATATAATCTATCACTCGTTATTAACAACATATCCAATAGTTGATATAATCTATCACTAGTTATTAACAACATATCCAATAGTTGATATAATCTATCACTAGTTATTAACAACATATCCAATAGTTGATATAATCTATCACTAGTTATTAACAACATATCCAATAGTTGATATAATCTATCACTAGTTATTAACAACATATCCAATAGTTGATATAATCTATCACTAGTTATTAACAACATATCCAATAGTTGATATAATCTATCACTAGTTATTAACAACATATCCAATAGTTGATATAATCTATCACTAGTTATTAACAACATATCCAATAGTTGATATAATCTATCACTAGTTATTAACAACATATCCAATAGTTGATATAATCTATCACTAGTTATTAACAACATATCCAATAGTTGATATAATCTATCACTAGTTATTAACAACATATCCAATAGTTGATATAATATATCACTCGTTATTAACAACATATCCAATAGTTGATATAATCTATCACTCGTTATTAACAACATATCCAATAGTTGATATAATCTATCACTAGTTATTAACAACATATCCAATAGTTGATATAATCTATCACTCGTTATTAACAACATATCCAATAGTTGATATAATCTATCACTCGTTATTAACAACATATCCAATAGTTGATATAATCTATCACTCGTTATTAACAACATATCCAATAGTTGATATAATCTATCACTCGTTATTAACAACATATCCAATAGTTGATATAATCTATCACTCGTTATTAACAACATATCCAATAGTTGATATAATCTATCACTCGTTATTAACAACATATCCAATAGTTGATATAATCTATCACTCGTTATTAACAACATATCCATAGTTGATATAATCTATCACTAGTTATTAACAACATATCCAATAGTTGATATAATCTATCACTAGTTATTAACAACATATCCAATAGTTGATATAATCTATCACTAGTTATTAACAACATATCCAATAGTTGATATAATCTATCACTAGTTATTAACAACATATCCAATAGTTGATATAATCTATCACTAGTTATTAACAACATATCCAATAGTTGATATAATCTATCACTAGTTATTAACAACATATCCAATAGTTGATATAATCTATCACTAGTTATTAACAACATATCCAATAGTTGATATAATCTATCACTAGTTATTAACAACATATCCAATAGTTGATATAATCTATCACTAGTTATTAACAACATATCCAATAGTTGATATAATCTATCACTAGTTATTAACAACATATCCAATAGTTGATATAATCTATCACTAGTTATTAACAACATATCCAATAGTTGATATAATCTATCACTAGTTATTAACAACATATCCAATAGTTGATATAATCTATCACTAGTTATTAACAACATATCCAATAGTTGATATAATCTATCACTAGTTATTAACAACATATCCAATAGTTGATATAATCTATCACTAGTTATTAACAACATATCCAATAGTTGATATAATCTATCACTAGTTATTAACAACATATCCAATAGTTGATATAATCTATCACTAGTTATTAACAACATATCCAATAGTTGATATAATCTATCACTAGTTATTAACAACATATCCAATAGTTGATATAATCTATCACTAGTTATTAACAACATATCCAATAGTTGATATAATCTATCACTAGTTATTAACAACATATCCAATAGTTGATATAATCTATCACTAGTTATTAACAACATATCCAATAGTTGATATAATCACTAGTTATAAACACCTCTGAGTTCTGTCCGTTCATGTAGAGCTGAGGCAGTTCCTGGAGGGTCTCTGAGGACACATCTTTGTCCAGGGTCCCAGTGATGAGTTGAGGGAAGGCAGAGAACATCAGGTTGAAGAAGACCAGATACCACTGGTCTATCATGGCTGACCCAGAGAAACCACAGTAGAACTGGTACCAGAAGATCAGAGCTACAAACATCTGGAGAGGAGAGAGAGGGAGATGGGAGAGAGAGGGAGATGGGGAGAGAGAGAGGGAGATGGGGGAGAGAGAGAGGGAGATGGGAGAGAGAGAGAGGGAGATGGGAGAGAGAGAGAGGGAGATGGGGGGGGGAAGAGAGAGAGGGAAATGGGGAGAGAGAGAGGGAGATGGGGGAGAGAGGGAGATGGGGGGAGAGATAGAGAGATGGGGAGAGAGAGGGAGAGATGGGGAGAGAGAGAGGGAGATGGGAGATCGGAGAGGGAGGGAGATGAGTCGACTGACTGAGGTTCTACAGCTGTTCAGTCTGTGGGCTAGAAATAAATGTACAGCTCTTTAATGGTACCAGTCTCTGCCCACTCACAAACACAGAACTACATTTATATTGCTGATTGATTTGTAGATTTGTGCCTTTTTTTGTGTGACCAACTTTTGATTTAGTTTGTCATTTTTCAGAAGGGGGTTATAGGTACAGGTATAACACTCAGTCATATTTATTCAGATATATTCATACATTCAGTTATAATATTTGCATTTCATATTTCATACTTTCCTGTACCGGGCTGCCACTCTAAATAATAATACAACAAAATATCAGAGCAATGCAACAAAGACAAAGAACAGAATCAACAGTTTTGTAACATTCTGTATGCAAGGAAAAGAAACACACAAATACTGGCACTAAGACCGCACTCAAAGAGCTGTAGAGGGCCGGCTGTATAGGGCCAGCTGTAGAGGGCCGGCTGTATAGGGCCAGCTGTATAGGGCCGGCTGTAGAGGGCCGGCTGTATAGGGCCGGCTGTAGAGGGCCGGCTGTAGAGGAACGGCTGTATAGGGCCGGCTGTAGAGGGCCGGCTGTATAGGGCCGGCTGTATAGGGCCGGCTGTATAGGGCCGGCTGTAGAGGGCCGGCTGTATAGGGCCGGCTGTAGAGGGCCGGCTGTATAGGGCCGGCTGTAGAGGGCCAGCTGTAGAGGGCCGGCTGTAGAGGGCCGGCTGTAGAGGGCCGGCTGTAGAGGGCCGGCTGTAGAGGGCCGGCTGTATAGGGCCGGCTGTATAGGGCCGGCTGTATAGGGCCGGCTGTATAGGGCCGGCTGTAGAGGGCCGGCTGTAGAGGGCCGGCTGTATAGGGCCGGCTGTATAGGGCCAGCTGTAGAGGGCCGGCTGTAGAGGGCCGGCTGTAGAGGGCCGGCTGTATAGGGCCGGCTGTAGAGGGCCGGCTGTAGAGGGCCGGCTGTATAGGGCCGGCTGTAGAGGGCCGGCTGTATAGGGCCAGCTGTATAGGGCCGGCTGTATAGGGCCAGCTGTATAGGGCCAGCTGTATAGGGCCAGCTGTAGAGGGCCAGCTGTAGAGGGCCGGCTGTATAGGGCCAGCTGTAGAGGGCCGGCTGTAGAGGGCCGGCTGTAGAGGGCCGGCTGTATAGGGCCAGCTGTAGAGGGCAGGCTGTATAGGGCCAGCTGTAGAGGGCCGGCTGTAGAGGGCCGGCTGTATAGGGCCAGCTGTAGAGGGCCGGCTGTAGAGGGCCGGCTGTATAGGGCCAGCTGTAGAGGGCCGGCTGTATAGGGCCAGCTGTAGAGGGCCGGCTGTAGAGGGCCGGCTGTATAGGGCCAGCTGTAGAGGGCCGGCGGTAGAGGGCCGGCTGTATAGGGCCGGCTGTAGAGGGACGGCTGTAGAGGGCCGGCTGTAGAGGGCCGGCTGTAGAGGGCCGGCTGTATAGGGCCAGCTGTAGAGGGCCGGCTGTATAGGGCCAGCTGTAGAGGGCCGGCTGTAGAGGGCCGGCTGTATAGGGCCAGCTGTAGAGGGCCGGCTGTAGAGGGCCGGCCGGCTGTAGAGGGCCGGCTGTATAGGGCCAGCTGTAGAGGGCCGGCTGTATAGGGCCAGCTGTAGAGGGCCGGCTGTAGAGGGCCGGCTGTATAGGGCCAGCTGTAGAGGGCCGGCTGTAGAGGGCCGGCCGGCTGTAGAGGGCCGGCCGGCTGTAGAGGGCCAGCTGTAGAGGGCCAGCTGTAGAGGGCCGGCTGTATAGGGCCGGCTGTAGAGGGCCAGCTGTATAGGGCCGGCTGTAGAGGGCCGGCTGTATAGGGCCGGCTGTAGAGGGCCGGCTGTAGAGGGCCGGCTGTAGAGGGCCGGCTGTAGAGGGCCGGCTGTATAGGGCCGGCTGTATAGGGCCGGCTGTAGAGGGCGAGCTGTAGAGGGCCGGCTGTAGAGGGCCGGCTGTAGAGGGCCGGCTGTATAGGGCCGGCTGTATAGGGCCGGCTGTATAGGGCCGGCTGTAGAGGGCCGGCTGTATAGGGCCGGCTGTATAGGGCCGGCTGTAGAGGGCCGGCTGTATAGGGCCGGCTGTATAGGGCCGGCTGTATAGGGCCAGCTGTATAGGGCCAGCTGTAGAGGGCCGGCTGTAGAGGGCCGGCTGTATAGGGCCGGCTGTATAGGGCCGGCTGTATAGGGCCAGCTGTATAGGGCCAGCTGTATAGGGCCGGCTGTAGAGGGCCGGCTGTATAGGGCCGGCTGTAGAGGGCCGGCTGTAGAGGGCCGGCTGTAGAGGGCCGGCTGTATAGGGACAGCTGTAGAGGGCCAGCTGTAGAGGGCCGGCTGTATAGGGCCAGCTGTAGAGGGCCGGCTGTATAGGGCCGGCTGTAGAGGGCCGGCTGTAGAGGGCCGGCTGTAGAGGGCCGGCTGTATAGGGCCGGCTGTATAGGGCCGGCTGTATAGGGCCGGCTGTATAGGGCCGGCTGTATAGGGCCGGCCGTATAGGGCCGGCCGTATAGGGCCGGCCGTATAGGGCCGGCCGTAGAGGGCCGGCCGTATAGGGCCGGCCGTATAGGGCCGGCCGTATAGGCCGCCGTATAGGGCCGGCCGTATAGGGCCGGCCGTATAGGGCCGGCCGTATAGGGCCGGCTGTATAGGGCCGGCTGTATAGGGCCAGCTGTATAGGGCCAGCTGTATAGGGCCAGCTGTAGAGGGCCGGCTGTAGAGGGCCGGCTGTATAGGGCCAGCTGTAGAGGGCCGGCTGTAGAGGGCCGGCTGTATAGGGCCAGCTGTAGAGGGCCGGCTGTATAGGGCCATCTGTAGAGGGCCGGCTGTAGAGGGCCGGCTGTAGAGGGCCGGCTGTAGAGGGCCGGCTGTATAGGGCCGGCTGTAGAGGGCCGGCTGTATAGGGCCAGCTGTAGAGGGCCGGCTGTAGAGGGCCGGCTGTAGAGGGCCGGCTGTAGAGGGCCGGCTGTAGAGGGCCGGCTGTAGAGGGCCGGCTGTATAGGGCCAGCTGTAGAGGGCCGGCTGTATAGGGCCGGCTGTAGAGGGCCGGCTGTAGAGGGCCGGCTGTATAGGGCCAGCTGTAGAGGGCCGGCTGTAGAGGGCCGGCTGTAGAGGGCCGGCTGTATAGGGCCAGCTGTAGAGGGCCGGCTGTAGAGGGCCGGCTGTATAGGGCCAGCTGTAGAGGGCCGGCTGTATAGGGCCGGCTGTAGAGGGCCGGCTGTAGAGGGCCGGCTGTATAGGGCCGGCTGTAGAGGGCCGGCTGTAGAGGGCCGGCTGTAGAGGGCCGGCTGTAGAGGGCCGGCTGTAGAGGGCCGGCTGTATAGGGCCAGCTGTAGAGGGCCGGCTGTATAGGGCCGGCTGTATAGGGCCAGCTGTAGAGGGCCATAAGTAAACAAGAACATGCTCATCCAGAGGCGGCGCTCCTAGTGGCCGGTGAACTGAATGCAGGAAAACTGAAATCCGTTTAACCTAATTTCCACCAGCATGTCACCTGTACAACTAGAGGCGAAAAAACTCTAGATCACCTTTACTCCACACACAGAGACACATACAAAGTTCTCCCTAGCCCTCCATTTTTCGGAAATCTGACCATAACTCTATCCTCCTGATTCCTGGTTACAAGCAAAAACTCTAACAGGAAGTACCAGTGACACGCTCAATACGGAAATGGTCTGATAAAGCTGATGCTAAGCTACAGGACTGTTTTGCTAGCACAGACTGGAATATGTGACCAACCTGCTTGAGTCGGTCTAATGTAGCAAAATTTGAAATTGTGTTTTTTACATTGGATAAAAGTAGAGACTCAGAGCTAGAAAATTGTATATCATACACTACAGTTGAGGAACAATTGGAAAATATTTCTGCTTTGAAAGTCGACTTGTAACCTCACTTCTGAGAAAATGGCCTTTGAATGTTTTGCTACAATCACTGGAGAGCTCTTCTTTGTCTACACCCATTCAGCATCGTTCACACCCTCTTAAGCTTTAGCCCCACCCATCTCTAAGGGTTGATCCGAGTGTTCTGTCCTAACAACAGCAGTCAAGCACCCAAGCTAACTGGCTAACGTTGGCTAGCTTGCTAGCTACTTCCAGACACAAATGAGAGAACATCTCACTCTGACCATTTTACTCGCCCTAGCAGAACTGGTTAGGCTGTTTCTATGTTATCCAGAGCGTTGGTGACTGCAACTGTGCCAATGTTTATTGACACCGGCCATATTCAACGGGTGTTGAGTGTTCGTAAATTCGTCAGTTATTCTGCGGTCTGGCACACTCAGATGAGAGTGCTCTGAAATCGGAGTAGATAGCCAGAGCGAATTTACCAGCTACGTCTATCAACAGCTGTCGCAGTGACATCATAAATATTCTATTGAAATGGGTACTTGCATAGTGGAGTCTTTTGTTAAGACATGTTGCTAGCTAGCTAAACAATGAACCATAATCCCAACTCATGACGTTACTACCCTGCATGAATCTGAAGGTAGCTAAACCAACCAGGTTCAATGTTAGCTAGCTAACATTAGGCTATAACTAGCAAAGCAAATGGCTCTGAGATACAAATAATATAACTACACAGATCATACAGATAACGTTAGCTAGCGAGCCAGCCTGCTAACTTTAGCTAGCTAGCTAACAGTACACTTTAACTTAAAATGAAAATGACTTTCTGACAAAATTAGAAACGTGTAATATCTGAAAATGTAGCGAGCTAGACTATCTTACCCGTATACATGGATGGACGCTTCTCCCTCTCTGTCACGGATGCTATGGTTGCCCTTAGTTTGAAGATGTAATCCGGAGACAGGTGTTTTCTCCATCTCCTTAGCTATCATACTCTAATTCCACTGATTTCAAAACTCGGTCCTCCAGAAAGTGGAGAGCAACACTTATGCAGTTCTACTAAGCAATATATTTTTTCAAAAGCCCCGTTAGACAGGATTACCTACACATACTGACCAGCTCAAATAGACAGAAGCGTGCTACATGGCAGACCAATCCGAACTCATCTCTCAGCATGTCCAGCCCACTCATTATCTCAGACAATCATGGCTAGCGGGAAGGTTGCTCTTTTTCTGTGGCTAAACCAACTAGGCATGTAATTTAACAATTTTGTTCGTATTTACAGATGGCATACAAGTTTGTTATTAAGGCACATGAAAGTTCACATGTTCCAGAATGCATTTCTGCCAAAATACGCAGTAGTAGTGACGTGCAACATACGTTTCCTGAAACTAGTCACATATGTTCTGGGACTCATCCGATGGCATTGAGGAATTTACCACCTCAGTCCCCGGCTTCATTATTAAGTGCATCAATGAAATCATCCCCACAGTGACCGTACGTACATATCCCAAACAGAAGCCATGGATTACAGGCAACATCCGCACTGAGCTAAAGGCTCAAGCTGTTGCTTTCAAGTAGCGGGACACTAACCCGGACGCTTATAAATCCCGCTATGCCCTCTGACGAACCAACAGGTTAATATTCACAAGGCCTCAACTGGTCAAGCAAGACTTATATATCACAGAACCCGGCCGAGACCTGCCCAGTGATGCGAGCCTACCAGACAAGCCAAATGCCTTCAATGCTCGCTTCGAGACAAGCAACACTGAACCATGCTTGAGAGCACCAGCTGTTCCGGACGACTGTGTGATCACGCTCTCCGTAGTAAGACCTTTAAACAGGTTAACTTTCAAAAGGCCTCAGGGCCAGATGGATTACCAGGATACATACTCAGTCTGACCAGCTGGTAAGTGTCTTCACTGACTTTTTTAACCTCTCCCTGACCGAGTCTGTAATACCAACATGTTTCAAGCAGACCACCATAGTCCCTGTGCCCAAGAACGCCAAGGTAACCTGTCTAAATGACTATCACCCCATAACACTCACATATGTAGCCATGAAGTGCTTTGAAAGGCTGGTCATTGCTCACACCAACACTATCATCCCAGACACCCTGGACCCACTCCAATTCGCATACCGCCCCAACAAATCCACAGATGACGCAATCTCTAATGCTGCGCACGACTCCAACACCATCATTAAGTTTGCCGACGACACGACGGTGGTAGGCCTGATCACCGACGACGATGAGTCAGCCTACAGGGAGGAGGTCAGAGACCTGGCAGTGTGGTGCCGGAGCAACAACCTCTCCATCAACGTCAGGAAGAACAAGGAGCTGATCGTGGACTACAGGAAACAGAGGGCAGAGCACGCCCCAATTCACATCGACGTAGCTGTAGTGGAGCGGGTCGAGAGCTTCAAGTTCCTCGGTGTCCACATCACTAAGGATCTGTCATGGTCCAAACACACCAATACAGTCATGAAGAGGGCACGACAACGCCTCTTCCCCCTCAGGAAGCTGAAAAAATGTGGCATTGTCCATCAGATCCTCAAAAAGTTATACAGCTGCACCACTGAGAGCATCTTGACTGGCTGCATCACCGCCTGGTATGGTAACCTTATGTACCAGCCATGGAGGTCGTCGGGTAAGCTTGGCGTCGGGTAAGTTTGGCTTTATACATAGCTTGGGCTTTGTCGAGTAAGGCTTAAACTATGTATTTAGATTGTAGTTAGGTATTGTAGGTAGGTATCGTGGGTTGTTGTAGGTAGTTATTGTATGTAATTATTGTAGGTTAGTATTGTATTCGGCGGTGCCGGGTGTAGCACGAAGCTAGCTAGCTAGCTAACTCACCACCTGGACTAGCTGGCGAGTAGCTATTAGCAACGGTATAGTTGTTTCACGCCTGAGAGTGCCTGTAATTACGCCAGCTGGCTGCCTACAATAATTACATACAATAATTGCCTACCATTCAGCTGTTTTCTAACCTCATTGTCTGAACCGTTAACGTTAGGTAGCAAGTGGCTACTGCTTGAAAATTAGCAAGCTTGTTGCAACCTGGATAGCTACTTGTAAACAATAGCTGGAACGACCGAGCGAACAGACGCGAACTGGCTGAGTCAATTCAGTGGCTAGCTTTGCACTTGGCTAGCTAACAGTAGCTGCTAGGGATAAGTCATAACCTACACTTGTGTTTTGTTTTTTACATATTGATAGCCCGAGTCGCTCAAGGAATTCGGGACATGGGTGACTAGTTAACGTTAGTTTGGCTCTCTCTGTGTTTTCGTGCCGTGAAAGGAGGGGTTCTTCTTTGTCTGAAAGCAATGGCTAGCTAGTTTGCTAACTATTCTAGCTAACTAACTGGCTGAATAAGTTGACGACGGACTCGCTCAAGCTGTCGGGACTAACCCACAACGTTAGTGGCTGAGTATTGGCGCTAAACCCTGCTGTTGGAGACCGGCATGCTAGCTGGCTGTGGTGTCTTATGACGAGGTGCCCAGACGTTTTTCACGGAATAATACTGCACCTAGTTAGCTAGCTGAATAAACTAGGTTAGTCTATTCCTAGAAAACATTGAACCGCTGTAGTTTACAACAATTATAGTTTCTGAGGTGGAAGTTGGGAGAGTTATATTTGGGAGTTGTGGTGAGGGAGGCCCCGCTCTCTCCTTTCCCAGATGTTTAGTTCATTTTATTCTGATCTCCTCTGCATTATTGTAGCCATCTGCTGCAGCCTGTCAACTATGCCTCTGCCTATCCCTGTTCTCTCCTCTCCGCACAGGCTACACAAACGCCTCACACCGCGTGGCTGCTGCCTCTCTAACCTGGTGGTCCCTGCACGCACGACCCACGTGGAGTTCCAGGTCTCAGGCAGCCTCTGGAACTGCCGTTCTGCTGCCAACAAGGCAGACTTCATCCCAGCCTATGCTACCCTCCAGTCCCTCGACTTCTTGGCGCTGACGGAAACATGGATTACCACTGAAAACACTGCTACTCCTGCTGCTCTCTCCTCGTCTGACCATGTGTTCTCGCATACCCCGAGAGCATCTGGTCAGCGGGGTGGTGGCACAGGAATCCTCATCTCTCCCAAGTGGACATTCTCAATTTTTCCCCTGACCCATCTGTCTATCTCCTCATTTGAATTCCATGCTGTCACAGTCACTAGCCCATTTAAGCTTAATATCCTTGTCATCTATCGCCCTCCAGGTTCCCTTGGAGAGTTCATCAATGAGCTTGACGCCTTGATGAGTTCCTTTCCTGAGGATGGCTCACCCCTCACAGTTCTGGGGGATTTCAACCTCCCTACGTCTACATTTGACTCATTTCTCTCTGCCTCCTTCTTTCCACTCCTCTCCTCTTTTGACCTCACCCTCTCACCGTCCCCCCCTACTCACAAGGCAGGCAATACGCTTGACCTCATCTTTACTAGATGCTGTTCTTCTACTAATCTCACTGCAACTCCCCTCCAAGTCTCCGACCACTACTTTGTATCATTTTCTCTCTCCCTCTCCTCCAACACTACTCACTCTGCCCCTACACAGATGGTAATGCGCCGTCGCAACCTTCGCTCTCTCTCTCCCCGCTACTCTCTCCTCTTCCATCCTATCATCTCTTCCCTCTGCTCAATCCTTCTCCCTCCAATCTCCTGATTCTGCCTCCTCAACCCTCCTCTCCTCCCTTTCTGCATCCTTTGACTCTCTATGTCCCCTATCCTCCCGGCCGGCTCGGTCCTCCCCTCCAGCTCCGTGGCTTGATGACTCATTGCGAGCTCACAGAACAGAGCTCCGGGCAGCTGAGCGGAAATGGAAGAAAACTAGACTCCCTGCAGACCTGGCATCTTTTCACTCCCTCCTCTCTACATTTTCTTCATCTGTTACTGCTGCTAAGGCCACTTTCTACCACTCTAAATTCCAAGCATCCGCCTCTAACCCTAGGAAGCTCTTTGCCACATTCTCCTCCCTGCTGAATCCCCCCCCCCCCTCCCTCTCTGTGGATGACTTCGTCAACCATTTTGAAAAGAAGGTTGACGACATCCGATCCTCGTTTGTTAAGTCAAATGACACTGCTGGTCCTGCTCACACTGCCCTACCCTATGCTTTGACTTCTTTCTCCCCTCTCTCTCCAGATAAAATCTTGCGACTTGTGACGGCAGGCCGCCCAACAACCTGCCCGCTTGACCCTATCCCCTCCTCTCTTCTCCAGACCATCTCCGGTGACCTTCTCCCTTACCTCACCTCGCTGATCAACTCATCCTTGACCGCTGGCTATGTCCCTTCCGTCTTCAAGAGAGCGAGAGTTGCACCCCTTCTCAAAAAACCAACACTCGATCCCACTGATGTCAACAACTACAGACCAGTATCCCTTCTTTCTTTTCTCTCCAAAACGATTGAGCGTGCCGTCTTTAGCCAACTCTCTTGCTATCTCTCTCAGAATGACCTTCTTGATCCAAACCAGTCAGGTTTCAAGACTGGTCATTCAACTGAGACTGCTCTTCTCTGTGTCACAGAGGCTCTCCGCACTGCTAAAGCTAACTCTCACTCCTCTGCTCTTGTCCTTCTAGACCTGTCTGCTGCCTTTGATACTGTGAACCATCAGATCCTCCTCTCCACCCTCTCCGAGCTGGGCATCTCCGGCGCGGCTCACTCTTGGATTGCGTCCTACCTGACTGGTCGCTCCTACCAAGTGGCGTGGCGAGAAGCTGTCTCCGCACCACGTGCTCTCACCACTGGTGTCCCCCAGGGCTCAGTTCTAGGCCCTCTCCTATTCTCGCTATACACCAAGTCACTTGGCTCTGTCATATCCTCACATGGCCTCTCCTATCATTGCTACGCTGACGACACACAACTAATCTTCTCCTTTCCCCCTTCTGATAACCAGGTGGCGAATCGTATCTCTGCATGTCTGGCAGACATATCAGTATGGATGACGGATCACCACCTCAAGCTGAATCTCGGCAAGACGGAGCTGCTCTTCCTCCCGGGAAAGGACTGCCCGTTCCATGATCTCGCCATCACGGTTGACAACTCCGTTGTGTCCTCCTCCCAGAGTGCGAAGAGCCTTGGCGTGACCCTGGACAACACCCTGTCGTTCTCCGCTAACATCAAGGCGGTGACCCGATCCTGTAGGTTCATGCTCTACAACATTCGGAGAGTACGACCCTGCCTTACACAGGAAGCGGCACAGGTCCTAATCCAGGCACTTGTCATCTCCCGTCTGGATTACTGCAGCTCCCTGCCTGTGCCATTAATTTTTATTTTTTTATTTCACCTTTATTTAACCAGGTAAACCAGTTGAGAACAAGTTCTCATTTACAACTGCGACCTGGCCAAGATAAAGCAAAGCAGCGCGATAAAAACAACACAGAGTTACATATGGGGTAAAACAAAACAAAGTCAAAAATACAACAGAAATACATATATATACAGTGTGTGCAAATGTAGCAAGTTATGGAGGTAAGGCAATAAATAGGCTATAGTGCAAAATAATTACAATTAGTTAAACACCTACAACTCATCCAGAATGCCGCAGCACGTCTGGTGTTCAACCTTCCCAAGTTCTCTCACGTCACCCCGCTCCTCCGCACACTCCACTGGCTTCCAGTTGAAGCTCGCATCTGCTACAAGACCATGGTGCTTGCTTACGGAGCTGTGAGGGGAATGGCACCTCCGTACCTTCAGGCTCTGATCAGTCCCTACACCCAAACGAGGGCACTGCGTTCATCCACCTCTGGCCTGCTGGCTCCCCTACCTCTGCGGAAGCATAGTTCCCGCTCAGCCCAGTCAAAACTGTTCGCTGCTCTGGCACCCCAATGGTGGAACAAGCTCCCTCACGACGCCAGGACAGCGGAGTCACTCACCACCTTCCGGAGACATTTGAAACCCCACCTATTTAAGGAATACCTGGGATAGGATAAAGTAATCCTTCTACCCCCCCCCTTGACAAAAAAAAAAAAAAAAAAAAAAAAAAAACATTGTAAAGTGGTTATCCCACTGGCTATAAGGTGAATGCACCTATTTGTAAGTCGCTCTGGATAAGAGCGTCTGCTAAATGACGTAAATGTAAATGTAAAATGTAACTGCTTGGCACCTGACCGCAAGGTGCTACAGAGGGTAGTGCGTACGGCCCAGTACATCACTGGGGCAAAGCTCCCTGCCATCCAGGACCTCTATACCAGGCGGTGTCAGAGGAACAGCTTCTACCCCCAAGCCATAAAACTGCTAAATAGTTAGTTAAATAGTTAACCAAATAGCTACCCGGACTATCTGCGTTGACCCTTTTTGCACAAACTTTTTTGACTCATCACATATGTACACATCTACCTGAATTAGCTTGTACCCCTGCACATCGAATCGGTACAGGCACCCCTTGTATATAGTTATCTTTACTCATTGTGTATCTATTATTACTACAAGTTCAACTTTTCTATTATTGCTATATATTCTTTCTCTGTTGGGAAGCCTGTTAATCACTGTCCTTTTGCTTACGAAGCATGTGACAAATAACATTTGATATAATTGGTCTGTGTGTGTGGGGCTTTAGCTGAGCTTGTTCTTTACAGAGTCAAGTATACTTTATTTGTCCAGGCTTCAATTGTTCCTTGATGAGCACCATTCATTCTCGCTGTCAATAATTCTAATGTTTGAACTTCTAATAGTAACTGTATCCCTTGGTGAATTGGGAGAGTGAGGTGGTCGCCATCTTAGAGCCAAAAAGAAATGTGCAACAGTGCTGCCTGCCAGCAGTAATCATCTCTGACTGATTGAGAGATTCAAGCGCTATCATCATTAAGTAACATAAATGGTTGGGGAGCATTGAATATTGACATTCATGCTCTTTGAAATGAATTTTGTAACTTTGTCCCAAAAGCATTTAACTGCAGGGCACTGCCACATCATATTAAGGAACGTGTCTACCTGATTTGGGGGACACAGTAAGCATTTGGAAGTCGGGGCCAATTCCATTATAAAAAGTTTATTGGGTGTTAGATAAAGTCTGAACAAACTTGAAATGAATAAGTTGATGGTTCGGATTACTGGATGCCAAGGTCATATTTTTCCATATTCTGGTCCAGTTCAAGGATGATTCAGTTACATTTAGATCTGTAGATCTGTGGGCCATACTTTTTAAAATGGCTAGCTTAGAGTCTGCGGTTTCCAATAGTTGTTTAAATATTACTGAGTTTAGTCCTTTAGGGAGACCAGATGATCTGTTGTATAAATTCCATCATTGGATGGTTGGACAGGTGAGTTTCCCATGGAACTCCATGAACTCCTAGCATAGCTGCCCTACGTTGGAAATAAATAGTCAGAATGTCCTCAAACCATTACTATCCATGATATCGACAAAAGTACGGATGTGATGTGAAAAGGTACGACGTACGATTAGGCATTACTATTCAATATCTGGGCGTGCCATTTCGTTTCCCAGCTGCATAGTTTTAAAATGTTGTGTGAGTAATAATAGGACCAAAGCGTAGTTTACGTTGTTTAAGAGACTTATCAATGAACACCACTTCTTCCAGTGCAATGGGAGACACCATATCTCTCTCTATTCTCAGCCAGGGAGCAGAATAGTCATGTCTAAACCTATTTATAATTGGGCGAAATGCTAGTGCTGGAAATACAATTTAAAGTTTGGAACGGATAGCCCTCCAACGTATTTCCCTCTGTAAATGTGTTAATTTAAATCGGGGATCTCTTACCTTCCATACATATTTTGAAAACGCACAAATCCCAATTGCCAGAAGGGGGAGACATAGGAAGCATATACATTTTCACAATATAAATTCTGCTGGTTAGAGCGACTGGGATGTTAGTCCATCTACTGAGGTCGGATTGATTTGATTTGAGCATTTTGTTGATGTTTTTTTGCAATGGTTTTATCTAAAGAAGGAAATATATATTTTCCTAAATATTTGAAATGGGAAACGATTGGGATTCCATAAATAGAGATGGGGTCCTCTGTCGGGTTCTTGAGGGGCAGTACAGAAAGATTTGGTTAGATTTATTTTATAACTTGAGATGGAGCAAAATTTGTCTACGATCCTCAAAGCGTTTGGGAGGGATTGAGATACATTGTCTAGATAAAGTAAGATATCGTCGGCGTATAATGAGATGACGTGATCAGTACAATTGAGAGATATTGGTGTAATTTATTTTGTTTGTCTAAATTGCCTTGGCCAGGGGCTACATAAACAAAAATAGCAGAGGAGAGATGGGATCACCTTGCCTGCTACTTCTAGTTATTCTGAACAGAACAGAGCAGTTATTGCCTGTTATTACTATGGCTGAGGGATTGGCATATCATATTTTAATCAGATTAATGAAATTGGAGCCAAGACCCATATGTTCCAAAACTGACCAAAGATATGACCATTCTAGTCTATCAAAAGCTTTTTCTGCGTTGAGAGATAGAACTGCCCAAGGAGCTTTGGTTTCTGATGAAGCATGTTAGATATGTAATATATGGGGGCTAACTGGAGGATAATCATTTTTTAACAAAGCCACTTTGGTCTGGATGTACCAGTTTGGGTAAGTTTCGATGAATTAAGTATAGCTATAATTCTAATGGTTTGGCATAAGAAGAGGATCTAAAGGAAAAGATTAGCATATTTATTGTCTTCAGGAAACTCACTCAATATCTTCTGATGAAGTGGCCTGAGAAAAAGAATTGGATGGTAAAATCTATTTCACTCATGGGTTAAGAAATTCAAAAGGTGTTATGATCTTATTCAAAAACAATTAGGATCTTGAGGTGCAATCCGTTAAACTAGATTCTCAAGGAAGATGGATTGACCTTGAATATATGACTTGATGATAAACAGTTATGGCTCAAAAATCTATATGGACCAATGACGATCCAAACTTATTTGAAAACATCTAATTAGTCTCCAAGATACAAATAACTCTTATAATGGTAGGGGCCTACAATACAGTTTTAAGTACATCAATGGATCGTTAAGGCAATCATACTCTCATCTATCACCCTCCTGCGTTCAAAGAGATTACGAATATTATGGACACGTTGGAATTGACAGATATTTGGAGGCTTAAAAACCCGGATCTTGTAAGGTATAGTTGGAGGAGGCTTAATCAAGCTAGTTGTATTGATTCTTTTCTGGTATCCTTTTCAATGGCGCCAAAAGTGAAAAAAGTATGGCTTGAGGATCGAATGCGATCAGACCATCAACTTATATCCCTCCTTACAAGTATGACAGGCTTTCCACAAGGGCGGGGATATTGGAAATGTAACCAGGGGTTACAGACTGATGCTACTTTCTTAACAAAAACTAAGGAATTCATAAGACTTTCTTGCACAATACAGGTTCAGCGGACCCACATATTGTATGGGATACTTTTAAATGTGCCCTTAGAGGCCATTCAAAACAATTTTCATCCCCAAAAACAAAAACGGTATCAGTCAACAGAGAAAAGACTTAAAGCAGAAATAGAAAATCTAACATTAGACATCAATGATGTAGATAAATGGAATACAGAACCATTGAATAATGTAGACGTAAATCAAAAGTAGTTTGAGGAACTTATTCAGTAAAGACCGGGTTTCATTTATCTAAAAAACAGAGCAAATTAGATTGAGAACGACAAAAAATGCACCATGTATAGAAATGCAACCAAATATAACCTATAAAACGTAGTTACAAACGATGCAAAAATCCATCTCCCCAACAGAGATAAAGTAAAATATTTTAAACAAATGTTCTCGTCAAGTTCCTCCAACCTCACTTGACGACAAGTTTTGTGATATCCTTCTCCCAAAAAAATCATATTAAACTATCAGGCGACACAAAAAAAAATATTGTGAAGACCTAATTACACATGACGAACTATGGTTGGCAATTGATTCCTTTCAGATGGGGAAAACCCCTGATCTCGATGGCATTCCAATAGAGATATATCAAACTTTATGAACTACTGAAAGATCCATTACAAATCATGTTTTAATTACTCATACTGTCTATAAATGGCAGACTGTCGGACAGAGGGACTGATCTCTCTCCTACCGAAGCAGGAGCAAAGAGGAGGCCCCTGACCCTTCAATGTTGTGATGCAAAAATATTGTCTAAATGTATTGCTCCTACCGGACATTATTCATCACGATCAGACGGGATTCTGTAAAGGATGATATATCGGAGATAACAGACAACTATTAGAAATAATTGAAAACTATGAGAATGTAGGGAAACCAGGTATAATCTTCAAAGCAGATTTTGAGAAAGCGTTTGATACAGTATGTCTAGAATCTGTTTAGAAGTGCCTGGACTTTTTGAGAATCTCTCATAAGATGGGTAAAAGTAATGTACAACAATCCACATTTATCAGACTGTGGCAGCAGAACATTTTGAACACTTCATAGCTTCAATCTTGTGTATTTTATTCCTCATTTGACTATTTTCATTTTTTATAATAATAGTTTTAGGGGGGCTTTGGGGAGCTCATAAGTAAGCATTTCACGGTAAAGTTTACACCCGTTGTATTCGCTGCATGTGACAAATACAATTTGATTTGATTTAACGTTGTTTAAAACATTTTGGGGTTTGGCAAAAGTGTGATTTAGCGACTAGTGATTCAAGGCCACCCAATGCTTTTAGCTGTTTGTGTGTGAGTGAGACTCACAGCGTTCTTGTAGAAGAAGTACAGGATCATGTTGGCCAATCTGGAGTAACACCAGTGACCATGGACCAGCAGGAGCTTCTGAAGGTTCCGGAACCGCGGTAGGGCAAAGTCACTAGCCATCACAGCCTGTAGAGAGAGAGAGACACACACACACAAAATACTAAACACAGAGACATACAGAGAGACAGACACACAGATGTGGATGTAAGGACATTCCCATAGATAACTGTGGTCTCCTGCTGTTTTGGGATGTTTCAGTGTCCTGATGAACCATGAAGTGTTTCGGTGTCCTGATGAACCATGAAGTGTTTCGGTGTCCTGATGAACCATGAAGTGTTTCGGTGTCCTGATGAACCATGAAGTGTTTCAGTGTCCTGATGAACCACGAAGTGTTTCAGTGTCCTGATGAACCACGAAGTGTTTCGGTCCTGATGAACCACGAAGTGTTTCAGTCCTGATGAACCATGAAGTGTTTCGGTCCTGATGAACCATGAAGTGTTTCAGTCCCGATGAACCATGAAGTGTTTCAGTGTCCTGATGAACCACGAAGTGTTTCAGTGTCCTGATGAACCATGAAGTGTTTCAGTCCTGATGAACCATGAAGTGTTTCAGTGTCCTGATGAACCACGAAGTGTTTCGGTGTCCTGATGAACCACGAAGTGTTTCGGTGTCCTGATGAACCATGAAGTGTTTTAGTGTCCTGATGAACCACGAAGTGTTTCAGTGTCCTGATGAACCACGAAGTGTTTCAGTGTCCTGATGAACCATGAAGTGTTTCAGTGTCCTGATGAACCACGAAGTGTTTCAGTGTCCTGATGAACCACGAAGTGTTTCAGTCCTGATGAACCATGAAGTGTTTCAGTGTCCTGATGAACCACGAAGTGTTTCGGTGTCCTGATGAACCATGAAGTGTTTTAGTGTCCTGATGAACCACGAAGTGTTTCAGTGTCCTGATGAACCATGAAGTGTTTCAGTCCTGATGAACCATGAAGTGTTTCAGTCCTGATGAACCATGAAGTGTTTCAGTGTCCTGATGAACCATGAAGTGTTTCAGTGTCCTGATGAACCATGAAGTGTTTCAGTGTCCTGATGAACCACGAAGTGTTTCAGTGTCCTGATGAACCACGAAGTGTTTCAGTCCTGATGAACCATGAAGTGTTTCAGTCCTGATGAACCATGAAGTGTTTTAGGACTAAAAGCCAGAGGTGGGACCAAGTCACTATTATTCGAGTCCCAAGCAAGTCTCAAGTCACAAGAACTGAGTCTCAAACCGAGTCCCAAGTAGAACGGGTCGTACCGAGTCCCAAGTAGAACGGGTCGTGTCCCAAGTAGAACGGGTCGTGTCTTGAGACTTGCTTGGGACTCTAATAATAGTGGCACGTCGTGCATTCTAAGAGCCAGTCAAGTTACAAGTCAAGTAAAAAAAATAATCTATACATGCAATGACTTGTTCAATTACAAATCTTTGTCTGTTTTTTGAGGCTACCAGCCAGACGTTTTCATTCTTTTGTCTAGAACACATTTTAATTATTGCCATTATCAATTTCAAGCAATTTTGGCAAACCAAAAGATCATTAGATGGGGCTTTTGGTATGTCAAAATTGCTTGAAAGGTATAATTTACTTATGAAGCTTGTATGTTGAATTTGATGTTAAAATTCATTATTACATATTACATCATGCTAGTAATTGTTGCTTGATGCCCCATTGCTTGTGATCTTGCAAAAGTAAACAGTTAATATTCTTGATCACCTATTGATCAAACTATTTTTGGAGATGCATATTTATTTATTTGAGGTTTGCGCTGCACCCGATTCTATATTATTGTTATTGATTATTGCATTGTTGGGTTTTGAGTTTGCAAGAAAGGCATTTCACTGTGCATGTGACATTAAAACTTAAAACTAGATCCAATAGCTGTACAGCAAATCAGAACCCCCAAAAAGCAGTGGCTCAAAGCTCGCGATGCCCCCACGCACGGGCACGCACGGTCACGCACGGACACACACGCACGGACACGCACGGTCACGCACGGACACGCACGGTCACACACGCACGGACACGCACGCACACGCACGGGCACACACGCACGGACACGCACGGTCACACACGCACGGACACGCACGGACACGCACGCGCGCACAATCGCTGCACAAATGTAGCCTGTCCTTACAGCCATAAACACTGATGCATTTTCAAAAAACGCAAGATACAGAAATAAACTGCGTTTTACACCTGAATTTGTAGCTGAAAGTCATTCATGTTAGCAACCCATATCAACTAGGGATATCATGTCACTTCTGTGGAGTCCAGAGCAAGCGGAATCACATGTCCTACTACAGTGGGGGAAAAAAGTATTTAGTCAGCCACCAATTGTGCAAGTTCTCCCACTTAAAAAGATGAGAGAGGCCTGTAATTTTCATCATAGGTACACGTCAACTATGACAGACAAAATGAGGAAAAAAAATCCAGAAAATCACATTGTAGGATTTTTAATGAATTTATTTGCAAATTATGGTGGAAAATAAGTATTTGGTCAATAACAAAAGTTTCTCAATACTTTGTTATATACCCTTTGTTGGCAATGACACAGGTCAAACGTTTTCTGTAAGTCTTCACAAGGTTTTCACACACTGTTGCTGGTATTTTGGCCCATTCCTCCATGCAGATCTCCTCTAGAGCAATTATGTTTTGGGGCTGTCGCTGGGCAACACGGACTTTCAACTCCCTCCAAAGATTTTCTATGGGGTTGAGATCTGGAGACTGGCTAGGCCACTCCAGGACCTTGAAATGCTTCTTACGAAGCCACTCCTTCGTTGCCCGGGCGGTGTGTTTGGGATCATTGTCATGCTGAAAGACCCAGCCACGTTTCATCTTCAATGCCCTTGCTGATGGAAGGAGGTTTTTCACTCAAAATCTCACGATACATGGTCCCATTCATTCTTTCCTTTACACGGATCAGTCGTCCTGGTCCCTTTGCAGAAAAACAGCCCCAAAGCATGATGTTTCCACCCCCATGCTTCACAGTAGGTATGGTGTTCTTTGGATGCAACTCAGCATTCTTTGTCCTCCAAACACGACGAGTTGAGTTTCTACCAAAAAGTTCTATTTTGGTTTCATCTGACCATATGACATTCTCCCAATCCTCTTCTGGATCATCCAAATGCACTCTAGCAAACTTCAGACGGGCCTGGACACGTCTGGCACTGCAGTATTTTAGTCCCTGGCGGCGTAGTGTGTTACTGATGGTAGGCTTTGTTACTTTGGTCGCAGCTCTCTGCAGGTCATTCACTAGGTCCCCCCGTGTGGTTCTGGGATTTTTGCTCACCGTTCTTGTGATAATTTTGACCCCACGGGGTGAGATCTTGCGTGGAGCCCCAGATCGAGGGAGATTATCAGTGGTCTTGTATGTCTTCCATTTCCTAATAATTGCTCCCACAGTTGATTTCTTCAAACCAAGCTGCTTACCTATTGCAGATTCAGTCTTCCCAGCCTGGTGCAGGTCTACAATTTTGTTTCTGGTGTCCTTTGACAGCTCTTTGGTCTTGGCCATAGTGGAGTTTGGAGTGTGACTGTTTGAGGTTGTCTACAGGTGTCTTTTATACTGATAACAAGTTCAAACAGGTGTCATTAATACAGGTAACGAGTGGAGGACAGAGGAGCCTCTTAAAGAAGAAGTTACAGGTCTGTGAGAGCCAGAAATCTTGCTTGTTTGTAGGTGACCAAATACTTATTTTCCACCATAATTTGCAAATAAATTCATTAAAAATCCTACAATGTGATTTTCTGGAAAAGAAATTCTCAATTTGTCTGTCATAGTTGACGTGTACCTATGATGAAAATTACAGGCCTCTCTCATCTTTTTAAGTGGGAGAACTTGCACAATTGGTGGCTGACTAAATACTTTTTTCCCCCACTGTACCTACCTGTTTGCAGCGTAGGTCACAGGGTCGGTCTGAAAGGAAAGCATGGTCTGTCTGCACCGTGAGCTGTCACTCCGGCTGTCCGCAGACTGAACCTGATAACCCGTTTCTCCCTCACAAATACTGTAATTAATTCACCATCTAATCTAACGTCATTAATGTTACATCTTCATTCCATAATATTGAAGGCAGTGCGATGTTACAGCCATCTTTAGACACAGGCCTAGTTTGGGTGGCATAACATGGTCATAACACTGTCACGACATATATTCAGACCTGTTGTGACATATATTGCTTTATTTTAAGGATGATTATGACACCTTCATAACAGTGTCAAAACCCGCAAAACATTCCATTACACCATAGCCTACACGTCAACAGTATTTATATAACTTATATAACTCTGAAATTGACCATATTAAATGATCATTGTAATTGCACACACGTTGATGTCAGACATGCCCTTACCCCAATGCTCTGTTGGTGATGACTGGGATGAATCCAGGAGCAGATTTCAGGAGCAGGACAAGACACCCTCTTTCTGACTGATGACTGACATCAGGGCCTGTAGGTGGTAGGCCTATCTGCCTTATATGATAATGTGGTCATAATGCTTCATGACAGTGTCATAAAGTGTATTTTCTTAGTCCAAGTAAAGTGACACAGGATGGTCATAATGCTTCATGACAGTGTCATAAAGTGTATTTTCTTAGTCCAAGTAAAGTGACACAGGATGGTCATAATGCTTCATGACAGTGTCAAAGTGTATTTTCTACAAGTTATTTAAAATATGATGAAAATAAACATAACGGTAAAGAATTCATTACAACAAAGGATTTAAGAAACAAACTTGCAAAATGAAAGGAAACTTATCGGCAGGAAAAAACCACATTTGAATAAATGTGGGTTTTGACACACTCTTATGTAGGTGTCATAACCAGCCATAAAAGAACGCAATAATATATGCCACAACAGGTGTAAATATATGCGTCATGACAGTTATGAGAAGTTATTTCAGCTGTTATGACATATTATGACAGTTATGACTGTGTCATAACAGATTTCTAAACTATTTTATAATTTAAACATGGACCTACTCTGCTTTTGACAGGCAAAAGTGGAGAAAATAAAGCAAGTGTTTTCTGGTTACTAATCTCTGGATATGAGCGCCTGCCTTTGCGCGCCTGCCTTTGAGCGCCTGCCTTTGAGCGCCTGCCTTTGAGCGCCTGCCTTTGAGCGCCTGCCTTTGAGCGCCTGCCTTTGAGCGCCTGCCTTTGAGCGCCTGCCTTTGAGCGCCTGCCTTTGCGCGCCTGCCTTTGAGCGCCTGCCTTTGAGCGCCTGCCTTTGAGCGCCTGCCTTTGAGCGCCTGCCTTTGAGCGCCTGCCTTTGAGCGCCTGCCTTTGAGCGCCTGCCTTTGAGCGCCTGCCTTTGAGCGCCTGCCTTTGAGCGCCTGCCTTTGCGCGCCAATGCTGATGACTGGTTATTGGTCAACAATCAAGACGTGCAACTCTTTGGTTCTGAAGCACAGATTAGATGTTTTTGAGACAATAATTTGGTATAATACCGTAGGCCGACATCAATAACCAGATCAAAAGTATATATAAAATACAAATGGTAAATTATATGTAGACTATTATAAACTGGGTGGTTCGAGCCCTGAATGCTGATTGGCTGACAGCCGTGGTATATCAGACCGTATACCACGGGTATGACAAAACATTTATTTTTACTGCCCTAATTGCGTTGGTAACCAGTTTACAATAGCAATAAGGCATCTCGGGGGTTTGTGGTATATGGCCAATATACGTGTCGTGCATAAGAACAGCCCTTAGCCGTGGTATATTGGCCATATACCACACCCCATCGGGCCTTATTGCTTAATTAAAATATGTATGAAAAATATGTATTTTTCCCATTCAGTTTCACACTGGTGACCCCCCAAAACCTTCTCACTTGGAGAACCACTGCACTAGCTCACCCGACCTGTGTTGATTGACAGTTTGCTGGTCCAATCAGAGGGCCAAGTGTGTGTTTCACTAGACAATCTGTTGCACGTTTTTTGCAAGTCGATGCTGCCGATACCGTCTCTGGCTGCCTGGAGTAGGTTTGAATATTTTCCCGGTATTTTAGAAATGTTCCATCTCGAGGATAAATGACTTTTCTCCCGGGTAACCCGGTATTTCCTGCAAAAACCGTAAGTGTCATACTAAAGCATTATAAAGCTTGTAAACAGGCCTATGTCTGGATTTAATTAGAGCTTTGATAGAAAATTCAAGTCTGATGCTAGCTGAGTCGGATGAGTCATACATTAAAGACATGTTTTGAGCCCTACATTAAAAGACATTTAATGAACCCAAGCCCAAAAAAGCCCAAATGATTGTGCAGTTATCCAATACATATTACGCACAATAGAAAAACATAAAAGCCCATAGATGTAGCTAGCTATATAATGCCCATAGATGTAGCTAGCTATATAAAAGCCCATAGATGTAGCTAGCTGTATAAAGCCCATAGATGTAGCTAGCTATATAAAGCCCATAGATTGTAGCTAGCTATATAAAAGCCCATAGATGTAGCTAGCTATATAAAGCCCATAGATGTAGCTAGCTATATAAAGCCCATAGATGTAGCTAGCTATATAAAGCCCATAGATGTAGCTAGCTATATAAAGCCCATAGATGTAGCTAGCTATATAAAGCCCATAGATGTAGATAGCTATATAAAGCCCATAGATGTAGATAGCTATATAAAGCCCATAGATGTAGATAGCTATGTATAGCTATATAAAGCCCATAGATGTAGCTAGCTATATAAAGCCCATAGATGTAGCTAGCTATATAAAGCCCATAGATGTAGCTAGCTATATAAAAGCCCATAGATGTAGCTAGCTATATAAAGCCCATAGATGTAGCTAGCTATATAAAGCCCATAGATGTAGCTAGCTATATAAAGCCCATAGATGTAGCTAGCTATATAAAGCCCATAGATGTAGCTAGCTATATAAAGCCCATAGATGTAGCTAGCTATATAAAGCCCATAGATGTAGCTAGCTATATAAAGCCCATAGATGTAGCTAGCTATATAAAGCCCATAGATGTAGCTAGCTATATAAAGCCCATAGATGTAGCTAGCTGTATAAAGCCCATAGATGTAGCTAGCTATATAAAGCCCATAGATGTAGCTAGCTATATAAAGCCCATAGATGTAGCTAGCTGTATAAAGCCCATAGATGTAGCTAGCTATATAAAGCCCATAGATGTAGCTAGCTATATGCTCTCTTGAGTCAACAAATGAAACTAGCTCCAGTAGGTTCATATTTTTGAGTGTGATTTTGTATTACTGTACTGTATTATATGGACTGGAATTACGCACATCGTTCAAACCATGATAAAGCAGGGCGAGAACGTGATTCTGGTGATGCACAAACGGTCTACAAATTCTAGGCTAGCAAATGTTATTTTAATATTTAAATATAATTAGGGCCTATTTGTTTAATTAGTAGGCTGACGCATATTTAAGTGATAATGCTCTCGAAGCCGGTGTTTGGAGGATTATATTGGCACGAAGGCCGGCAAACCGTGCCAATTTATCCTCCAAACACCGGCTTCGAGGGCATTATCACTTTTATACAACGGGTTACCAAAATATTTAAAATAATGACTGACATATTTTCATAAAAATGTTATTTTGATGCATTTATTCACACTATTTCATCCTTCCACAAGATATAGTCCTGACACAAATCTAGGGTTGCTACCCAAGCCGGCTGGTCGTTCGTTCTATCGGTTCGGTTGCCAGAGATGCGACCCAGTCGTTCAGTCTTTTTGTTCTGTATCTATGGACGCGACCCAGTCGTTCAGTCTTTTTGTTCTGTATCTATGGAGAGTCGTTCGTTCTAAATGTTCTATTGCCATACTGGCTGGCAACGTTTTTATCCCTCGCTTGCTAGCTAGCCAACTACGGCTAACTTAGTCACGTCAAACAGTGCAGCCAGAAGAACAACAGTAGCTGCATTTGTTTAAGAAGTTTTCTAGTGACATTTATTTGGATACATCCATAACAATGAGCTAATGAGGCGCGATTTCGCCTGGCGTATAAAATGTGCTCACTCGTCAGGACACTGTTGTTGTTTAGATTTTAGATTTTTATTTCAAATTCAATTTAGTTTCAGTTAGTTTTCAGACTTGATTTACTAGTTTTTATTCAGTTTCATCAAAACATTTCTATTGAGTTGTTATATGATTTCGTTTTAGTGTTCAGGACAGAAAGTAGCCTTATACATGGGAGGCTAGGAGCAAGTATGTGTTTTAAGGCCTATAGCAGGGGTACTGCAGTACTATTTGAGATGGTCCGATCACTCAAATTTCCTAGGTGGCAAAGGTCCGGATGGATATTGTCATTTATCGGCATAGTAACAACTAAAAAAATGTCTGTCTCACCTCGTCTTTATCCTGAAATCCTTTGTGGGTGCTGTTCAGATGAACTTTGAGGTTGGTTGGATTTTTCCCTTTTATCTCTGTTCCACACAGGCTGCCATCTTCTGACACTACATTTGCTTTTGTCCTTTCCAGCAATGTAATCCGATACAGGGCTTTGCCTTTTGCGACCGACCACTGCTGGTGTTGGGTTTAGAATGGCGCCGGAGAAGATGGCTGCCGTTTTACAGCCCTCTAACCAATTATACTATTATGTGTGTTTTCTTATGTGCGTTATTTGTAATTTATTCTGTACATAATGTTTCTGCCAATGCCTCTTATGACCAAAAAGAGCTTCTGGATATCAGGACAGCGATTACTCACCACGTATTGGACAAAGATTTTTTCTTCAACTAGTTGGACGCGAAGTATATCCTACAGAAACACCGACAAGGCCCAAATCCCCGTCATTCGTATGAGAAAGAGACTGAGATATCGTGGACGTAGGTCGGGGTGCCTTGTAAGGATTCGACGGCGAGCGAGTAATCTGCCTCTTCCATCAATCCTATTAGCCAATCTTCAATCATTTGAGAATAAATTGGATGATTTAAGATTACGGTTATCCTACCATTGGGATATTAAAAACTGTAATATCTAATGTATCACCGAGTCCTGGCTGAACGACGACATGGATAACATACAGCTGGCGGGATATACCGCTCGCTTCGAGGCAAGCAACACTGAAGCATGCATGAGAGCATCAGCTGTTCCAGATGACTGTGTGATCACGCTCTCCGTAGCCGATGTGAGTAAGACTTTTAAACAGGTCAACATTCACAAGGCCGCAGGGCCAGATGGATTACCAGGATGTGTACTCCGAGCATGTGCTGACCAACTGGCAAGTGTCTTCACCGACATTTTCAACATGTCCCTGACTGAGTCTGTAATACCAACATGTTTCAAGCAGACCACCATAGTCCCCGTGCCCAAGGACTCTAAGATAACCCGCCTAAATGACTACCATCCCATTGCACTGAAAGGCTGGTCATGGCTCACATCAAACCAATTATCCCAGAAACCCTAGACCCACTCCAATTTGCATACCACCCCAACAGATCCACAGATGATGCAATCTTTATTGTACTCCACACTGCCCTTTCCCACCTGGACAAGAGGAACACCTACGTGAGAATGCTGTTCATTGACTACAGCTCAGTGTTCAACACCATAGTGCCCTCAAAGCTCATCACTAAGCTAAGGATCCTGGGACTAAACACCTCCCTCTGCAACTGGATCCTGGACTTCCTGACGGGCCGCCCCCAGGTGGTAAGGGTAGGTAACAACACATCTGCCACACTGATCCTCAACACGGGGCCCCGTGTCTGTTCGGTGTGTGTCTGTTCGGTGTGTGTCTGTTCAGTGTGTGTCTGTTCAGTGTGTGTCTGTTCAGTGTGTGTCTGTTCAGTGTGTGTCTGTCCTGCTGGTCATTATCAGCCGTCTTACCAGGACTCTGGGACGGGGTGGGTGGTCAATAGCTCTGCCCTACCCGGTGGCACTGCCAAGGCTGCTGCTACTTTAACTGTTACCATAGAAGTTGGCTAGGCCTTGGCCTTGGGACAAGGGACAAGGGACAAGGGGGAAGGGACAAGGGGGAAGGGACAAGGGGGAAGGTCGAGTGGATGATCCAGAGCCTGGCATATTTTACTATAATGCCCTTCAGCGGAACACACACAAACTACAGCAATTGACTAAGCATGGTTCAGAGCAGGGGTATCCAAACCTCTCCTCTGGGACCACATTTACGTCGTTTAGCGACGCTCTTATCCAGAGCCACTTACAGTTAGTGAGTCATTTAGCAGACGCTCTTATCCAGAGCCACTTACAGTAGAGAGTCCGTTTAGCGACGCTCTTATCCAGAGCCACTTCCAGGAGCTTAGAACCAGCGACCTTTCGGTTACTGGCACAACGCTCTTACCCACTAAGCTACCTGCCGCCCCCACCAGCTGTTCCATGGATTTGATCTATTTCACAGCTAGCACACCTGATTCAACCTGTCAACTAATCATCAAGCCCTTCCAGGTCAATCAGGTGAGATAGTTCAGGGCTACAACTCAATTGTGAAACGTCTGTGGGTCCTTGAGGAGAGGGTTGAATACCTCTGGTTTAGAGACCAGTAGTCCGTCCTCTCTCTTCCTCTGTGGTTCTCCTCCTCCGTCCTCTCTCTTCCTCTGTGGTTCTCCTCCTCCGTCCTCTCTCTTCCTCTGTGGTTCTCCTCCTCCGTCCTCTCTCTTCCTCTGTGGTTCTCCTCCTCCGTCCTCTCTCTTCCTCTGTGGTTCTCCTCCTCCGTCCTCTCTCTTCCTCTGTGGTCCACCATCCTTCCGTCGGGGTTCTCGCTTCCTCTGTGGTTCTCCTCTCCCCCTCTCTCTCCTCTTGGTGGTTCTCCTCCTCCGTCCACTCTCTTCCTCTGTGGTTTCTCCTCCCTCCGTCCCTCCTTCCTCTTCCTCTGTGGGTTCTCCTCCCCGTGGTTCGCCTCCCATCCTCTCTCTTCCTCTGTGTTCTCCCTCCTCCGTCCCTCGCGCTCTTCCTCTGGTGGTTCGCCTCCTCCGTCCCTCTCTTCCTCTGTGGTTTCTCCTCCTCCTCCGTCCGTCCACTCTCTTCCTCTGTGGGTTCTCCGCCTCCGTGGTTCTCCTTCCTCTTGGTCCTCTCTCTCCGTCCCTGTGGTTTCTCCTCCTCCGTCCCCTTCCCTGTGTTCCCTCAAAAAAAATCCCGTCCTCTCCTCTTCCTCTGTGGTTCTCCTCCCCGTCACTCTCCTTCCTCTGTGGTTCTCCTCCTCCGTCCTCTGCCTTCCTCTGTGGTTCTCCTCCTCCGTCCTCTCTCTTCCTCTGTGGATCCCCTCCTCCTCTCCCCATCTCTCCTTCTCCCTCGTCTCCCCCCTGCTTTTCCTCCTCCTCATCCCCTCCTCTTGCTCTCCCTGTCCCTCCCTTCTGTCTCCACATCCCCCTCTAAATTCCTCTTTCATCCCCCTCTCCGTCCTCTTCCTGCATCACGGCCCGCTCATGTTTCTCCTTACCTGCATGCCCTCCTGTCCTGAGATGCCCACGCCCACATCAGCCACCTGAATCATGCTGACATCGTTAGCCCCATCACCTGAGATGAATGAGGTAGAGTGAGGGAGAGAGAGAGAGGAGGAGGAGAGAGGGAGGGAGAGGGGGGAGGAAGAGAGAGGAGGGAGTGAGAGGAGAGAGGGAGAGGAGGGAGGATAAGAGGAGATGAGGGGGGTTCTTCTGACGCCAGTGGAACTCGGATGGGTAGGCCTCTGTTTTCTCTTTTGTTCGGGTACTTCTTCTCTTCTCGTCTGGCAGCTTCGGAGGTCGGCGCTTCCTTCTGATTCGTCTGGAGGAGAGAGCGAGAGAAAGCAGGGAGAGAGACACTCAGTAAGAGGTGCTAGTAGCTGCCAACCACTCTCCTCTCTACTCCACCTTAGTGTTAACACAGCAATGACAGAAAAACAACAGAGCTTCCCACCCTGTAACAAGTCAGTAAACAGAGCTTCTCACCCTGTAACAACAGTCAGTAAACAGAGCTTCCCACCCTGTAACAACAGTCAGCAAACAGAGCTTCCCACCCTGTAACAACAGTCAGTAAACAGAGCTTCCCACCCTGTAACAACAGTCAGTAAACAGAGCTTCCCACCCTGTAACAACAGTCAGTAAACAGAGCTTCCCACCCTGTAACAACAGTCAGTAAACAGAGCTTCCCACCCTGTAACAAGTCAGCAAACAGAGCTTCCCACCCTGTAACAACAGTCAGTAAAACAGAGCTTCCCACCCTGTAACAACAGTCAGTAAACAGAGCTTCTCACCCTGTAACAACAGTCAGTAAACAGAGCTTCCACCCTGTAACAACAGTCAGTAAACAGAGCTTCCCACCCTGTAACAACAGTCAGTAAACAGAGCTTCCCACCCTGTAACAGCAGTCAGTAAACAGAGCTTCCCACCCTGTAACAACAGTCAGTAAACAGAGCTTCTCACCCTGTAACAACAGTCAGTAAACAGAGCTTCCCACCCTGTAACAACAGTCAGTAAACAGAGCTTCCCACCCTGTAACAACAGTCAGTAAACAGAGCTTCCCACCCTGTAACAACAGTCAGTAAACAGAGCTTCCCACCCTGTAACAACAGTCAGCAAACAGAGCTTCCCACCCTGTAACAACAGTCAGTAAACAGATCTTCCCACCCTGTAACAACAGTCAGTAACAGAGCTTCCCACCCTGTAACAACAGTCAGTAACAGATCTTCCACACCCTGTAACAACAGTCAGTAAACAGAGCTTCCCACCCTGTAACAACAGTCAGTAAACAGAGCTTCCCACCCTGTAACAGCAGTCAGTAAACAGAGCTTCCCACCCTGTACAACAGTCAGTAAACAGAGCTTCTCACCCTGTAACAACAGTCAGTAAACAGAGCTTCCCACCCTGTAACAACAGTCAGTAAACAGAGCTTCTCACCCTGTAACAACAGTCAGTAAACAGATCTTCCCACCCTGTAACAACAGTCAGCAAACAGAGCTTCCCACCCTGTAACAACAGTCAGTAAACAGAGCTTCCCACCCTGTAACAGTCAGTAAACAGAGCTTCCCACCCTGTAACAACAGTCAGTAAACAGAGCTTCCCACCCTGTAACAACAGTCAGTAAACAGAGCTTCCCACCCTGTAACAACAGTCAGTAAACAGAGCTTCCCACCCTGTAACAGCAGTCAGTAAACAGGGGAAGACTGTGGTTGACTGTGACAATAACATATTTCCCTGCTGTGGTTGACTGTGACAAGGTGAAATAAGTTGTTTTAGCTAGTCTAAATAGCTGACTGATGATGTGTTCTTATTGTATAGTGTAAATAAAGCAAGGTATATTGCTGCTTTTAAAGTTTTGTGTATGTGGTGGGTGAAGTATGACTTTTATAGCTTTGTGTATGTGGTGGGTGAAGTATGACTTTCATAGATGAGTTTGTGTATGTGGTCGATGAAGTATGACTTTTACAGTGGAGGAAGACATGACAACATATTTCCGAGGACGGATGTAGTTTTCCACGTTGGGATTTCACGAATGTAAGGCATTTCAGGTGGACCTAAACATATTTGATACTTATTTTTTACAGCACATCAATAAATACACTAAATTCCAAACAGTACAGGTGCATGGATTTGATGTTTCCTGTAGCAGCTGATTTACTGTCCTTCTACGCGACACTATGATTGATCAACCAATCACCTACTGAGAACTACTGCTGAAACAATAACACGGACAGAAAGTTGGGATTTCATGAATGTAATGCATCTTCAAAATGACTTAGTACCAGTCAAAGGTTTGGACACACCTACTCATTCAATGGTTTTTCTTTGTTGAATCTAGTTGAGAGAATGCCAAGAGTGTGCAAAGCTGTCAAATATATTTTGATTTGTTTAACACTTTTTTGGTTACTACATGATTCCATATGTGTTATTTCATAGTTTTGATGTCTTCACTATTATTCTACAATGTAGAAAATAGTAAAAATTAAGAAAAACCCTGGAATGAGTAGGTGTGTCCAAACTTTTGACGGGTACTGTATATATACATTCATACACACATACAGTGCCTTCGGAAAGTATTCAGTCCTGACTTTTTCCACATTTTGTTACGTTACAGCCTTATTCTCAAACTGATTAAATAAATAAAAACGTCCTCAATCTACACACAATACTCCATAATGACAAAGTGAAAACAGGTTATTAGAAATAGTTTGAATTGTATTAACATTTTAAAAAAAGAAATACCTTATTACGTAAGTATTCAGACCCTTTGCTAGGAGACTCGAAATTGAGCTCAGGTGCATCCTGTTTCCATTGATTATCCTTGAGATGTTTCTACAACTTGATTGGAGTGCCACCTGTGGTAAATTCAATTGATTGGACATGATTTGGAAAGGCACACACCTGTCTATATAAGGTCCCACAGTTGACAGTACATGTCAGAGCAAAAACCAAGCCATGAGGTCGAAAGAATTGTCCGTAGAGCTCCAAGACAGGACTGTGTCGAGGCACAGATCTGGGGAAGGGTACCAAAAAAATGTCTGCAGCATTGAAGGTCCCCAAGAACACAGTGGCCTCCATCATTCTTAAATGGAAGAAGATTGGAACCACCAAGACTCTTCCTAGAGCTGGCCGCCCGGCCAAACTGAACAATCGGGGGAGAAGGGCCTTGGTCAGGGAGGTGACCAAGAACCCGATGGTCACTCTGACAGAGCTCCAGAGTTCCTCTGTGGAGATGGGAGAACCTTCCAGAAGGACAACCATCTCTGCAGCACTCCACCAATCAGGCCTTTATGGTAGAGTGGCCAGACAGAAGCCACTCCTCAGTAAAAAGCACATGACAGCCCACTTGGAGTTTGCCAAAAGGCACCTAAAGGACTCTCAGACCATCAGAAACAAGATTATCTGGTCTGATGAAACCAAAATTGAAATCTTTGGCCTGAATGTCAAGCGTCACATCTGGAGGAAACCTGGCACCATCCCTACGGTGAAGCATGGTGGTGGCAGCAACATGTTGTGGGAATGTTATTCAGCGGCAGGGACTGGGAGACTAGTCAGGATCGAGGGAAAGATGAACGGAGCAAAGTACAGAGAGATCCTTGATGAAAACCTGCTCCAGAGCGCTCAGGACCTCAGACTGGGGCAAAGGTTCACCTTCAAACAGGACAACGACCCTAAGCACACAGCTAAAACAACGCAGGAGTGGCTTCGGGACAAGTCTCTGAATGTCCTTGAGTGGCCCAGCCAGAGCCCGGACTTGAACCTGATCAAACATCTCTGGAGAGACCTGAAAATAGCTGTGCAGCGACGCTCCCCATCCAACCTGACAGAGCTTGAGAGGATCTGCAGAGAAGAATGGGAGAAACTCCCCAAATACAGGTGTGCCAAGCTTGTAGCGTCATACCCAAGAAGACTTGAGGCTGTAATCGCTGCCAAAGGTGCTTCAACAAAGTACTGAGTAAAGGGTCTGAATACTTATGTAAATGTGATATTAGAAAAAACTTCTAAAAACCTGTTGTTGCTTTGTCATTATGGGGTATTGGTCGAAGCATGGCTCCCTGTCGAAATAAAGGACCTTGGTCTCAGTATGACTCCCTGATCAAATAAAGGACCTTGGTCTCAGTATGACTCCCTGATCAAATAAAGGACCTTGGTCTCAGTATAACTCCCTGATTCAAATAAAGGACCTTGGTCTCAGTATGACTCCCTGATCAAATAAAGGACCTTGGTCTCAGTATGACTCCCTGATCAAATAAAGGACCTTGGTCTCAGTATGACTCCCTGATCAAATAAAGGACCTTGGTCTCAGTATGACTCCCTGATCAAATAAAGGACCTTGGTCTCAGTATGACTCCCTGATCAATAAAGGACCTTGTCTCAGTTACTCCCTGATCAAATAAAGGACCTTGGTCTCAGTATGAATCCCCCTGATCATAAGGACCTTGGTCTCAGTATTACTAACTTATCAATAAAGGACCTTGGTCTCAGTATACTCCCTGATCAAATAAGGACTTGTCTCAGTATGGACTCCTGATCAAATAAAGGACGCTTGGTCTCATATGACTCCCTGATCAAATACGACCTTGGTCTCGTATGACTCCCTGATCAATAAAGGACCTGGTCTCGTATGACTCCCTGATCACATAAAGGACCTGGCTCGTATGACTCCCTGATCAAATAAGGACCCTTGTCTCAGTATCTCCTGATCAAATAAAGAAACCCTTCGTCTCATATTGACTCCCTGATAAATATAACATCCTATGGCCAGTGTCATGACCTTCAGTTTTGTTCGCGGACCATTAACCACATGCCTTCTGAGCTCGGCGTGGAGCGACAGCAGTGGACCGACCGACAGCTCCTTGCCACCGCCAGGAACTTCTCATCTAGGCTGCTGTCCAGCGCATAGGCCAGCGTCCGCCCGTCAATCACCAAACCCAGCCGGTGCACCAGGAAGGGCTGGGCCTGGGAGGAAGGAGGAGGAGGGCGGAAGGAGTAGGCGGGAGCGTAGTCGTTCTGAAAGGATCTGGAAGGTTGGAGTAGTGACAGGAACTTAGCTGGAAAAGAACTGTCATGTAAACTCTCCTCCTAGAGTACTGTCCATCTGCCTCCTGTTTGCAGATAGATACGAGAATAGAGACAAGGCATAGGGTCAGAATGAGAAAACAGAGAGAGACGAGAGAGCGCATAGGTCAGAAGAGAGACAGAGGGAGAGAGAGGGGAGAAGCGGCATCGGTCATTGATAGAGATGCGAGAGGAGGAGAGAGGGAGAGAAAGCGATATTGAGAGAGACTGAGAGAGATGACGATAGATGGAGATAAGGGATTATATCGCGATGAGAGAGACATAGAAGAGAGAGAGAGAGGGAGAGAGACAGGCATAGGGTCAAGGAGTACAATCGAGAGAGGGATAGGAGAGAGAGAGACAGCCATATAAGGGTCAGCGAGAGAGAGAGAACATAGAGAGAGAGGCCATAGACAGAGACATAAGACGGGACAGAGAGAGAGAGAGACATACCGAGAGAGAAGAGGAGAGAGAGATAGAATAGAGAGAGAGACATAGACAGAGACGAACGAGACGATCCAGAGCGAGAGAGAGAGAGAGAGAGGAGAGAGGGAGAGACAAGGCCTAGGGTCCGAGGAGATATATAGAGAGAGAGACCATGAAGAGCCTAGAGACCGAACAGACAGATAAGAAAACAGAGAGAGACGAGAGGGGAGATAGAGGCATAGGGTCAGAGAGAGAGACAGAGAGAGGACAGAGAGATAGAGACGAGAGAGAGAAGAGATAGATAGAGAGAGATAGAGAGACAGAGAGAGAGAGACAGAGAGAGAGGGACATAGAAGAGATACAGAAGATAGAGAGAGACAGAGATATAGAGACAAGAGATAGAGAGAGAGAGAGAGAGAGAGAACAAGATGTAGACAGAGAGAGACAGAAGAGAGACAGAGAGGAGAATAGAGATAGGAGAGGACAGGCATAGGGTTCAGAGGAGAGAGAGAGAGAGGGAGAGAGAGAGAGACAGAGAGAGGAGAGCGAGATGTAGAGATACAGAGGAGACAGAAGAGAGACAGAGAGAGCAATACAGATATAGATATGAAGGGTCTAGATAGGGGAAGAGAGGGAGAGAGAGGTGAGAATAGTCTTTCTACTAGTATTGTCTTCTCGAGCAAAATATCTTGAATAGGTGGCCCTTTTGGATGGCACCCGTGGTCTGTGTCCGGTACCTGAGAGTCAGCGTTTGTGTGATTATCTCAGCTGTGATTCCCGTTGATTTGTGATTAAATCTCCTCTGAGAGTTCTGTTGAGTGTGATTATCTCACCTGAGAGTCCTGTTGATGTGATTCTCTCATCTGGGGTCACGTGAGTGTGATTCATCTCCCCTGAGAGTCAACGTTGAAGTGTGATTATCTCATCGGAGAGTCCCAGTGTTGAGTGTGATTATCTCACCTGATAGTCAGTGTTGAGTGTGATTATCTCACCTGAGAGTCATCGTTGAGTGTGATTATCTCAAACCCGAGAAATCAGTGTTGAGTGTGATTATCTCATCTGTGAGTCAACGTTGAGTGTGATTATCTTAATTTTCGTGAGTCAGCGTTATTGTGATTATCTCATCGAGAGTCAGTGTTGATTGTGATTATCTCATCTGAGAGTCAGCGTTGAGTGTGATTATCTCACCTGAGGGGTCAACGTTGAGTGTGATTATCTCACCTGAGAGTCATGTTGAGTGTGATTATCTCACCTGAGAGTCAGCGTTGAGTGTGATTAAACCCCACCTGAGAGTCAGTGTTTTAGTGTGATTATCTCACCTGAGAGTCAGTGTTGAGTGTGATTATCTCACCTGAGAGTCAGTGGTTGAGTGTGATTATCTCATCTGTGAGTCAGTGTTGAGTGTGATTATCTCATCTGTGAGTCAGTGTTGAGTGTGATGATCTCATCTGAGAGTCAGCGTTGAGTGTGATTATCTCATCTGAGAGTCAGTGTTGAGTGTGATTATCTCATCTGTGAGTCAGCGTTGAGTGTGATTATCTCATCTGAGAGTCAGCGTTGAGTGTGATTATCTCACCTGAGAGTCAGTGTTGAGTGTGATTATCTCATCTGTGAGTCAACGTTGAGTGTGATTATCTTATCTGTGAGTCAGCGTTGAGTGTGATTATCTCATCTGAGAGTCAGTGTTGAGTGTGATTATCTCATCTGAGAGTCAGCGTTGAGTGTGATTATCTCACCTGAGAGTCAGCGTTGAGTGTGATTATCTCACCTGAGAGTCAGTGTTGAGTGTGATTATCTCACCTGAGAGTCAGCGTTGAGTGTGATTATCTCACCTGAGAGTCAGTGTTGAGTGTGATTATCTCACCTGAGAGTCAGTGTTGAGTGTGATTATCTCACCTGAGAGTCAGTGTTTAAGTGTGATTATCTCATCTGTGAGTCAGTGTTGAGTGTGATTATCTCATCTGTGAGTCAGTGTTGAGTGTGATGATCTCATCTGAGAGTCAGCGTTGAGTGTGATTATCTCATCTGAGAGTCAGTGTTGAGTGTGATTATCTCACCTGAGAGTCAGCGTTGAGTGTGATTATCTCATCTGAGAGTCAGTGGTTGAGATGTGATTATCTCACCTGAGAGTCAGCGTTGAGTGTGATTATCTCACCTGAGAGTCAGCGTTGAGTGTGATTAACCCACCTGAGAGTCAGCGTTGAGTGTGATTATCTCATCTGTGAGTCAGCGTTGAGTGTGATTATCTCATCTGTGAGTCAGTGTTGAGTGTGATTATCTCATCTGAGAGTCAGTGTTGAGTGTGATTATCTCATATGTGAGTCAGTGTTGAGTGTGATTATCTCATCTGAGAGTCAGTGTTGAGTGTGATTATCTCACTGAGAGTCAGTGTTGAGGGGGTGATATCTCACCTGAGAGTCAGCGTTGAGTGTGATTATCTCACCTGAGAGTCAGTGTTGAGTGTGATTTTCTCATCTGAGAGTCAGCGTTGAGTGTGATTATCTCACCTGAGAGGGCGCGTTGAGTGATTATCTCACTGAGAGGCAGTGTTGAGTGTGATTATCTCACTGAGGTCAGTGTGAGTGTGATTATCTCATCTGAGAGTCAGCGTGAGTGTGATTATCTCACCTGAGAGTCAGTGTTGAGTGTGATTATCTCACCCGAGAGGGCAGCGTTTTAGTGTGATTATCTCACTGAGAGCAGTGTTGAGTGTGATTATCTCACCTGAGAGTCAGCGTTGGTGTGATTATCTCATCTGAGAGTCAGTGTTGATGTGATTATCTCACCTGAAGTCACGTTGGGTGATTATTCATCTAGAGTCGCGTTGAGTGTATTATCTCTCTGAAGCGTGTTGAGTGTGATTATCTCATCCTGAGAGTCAGTGTTGAGTTGATTATCTCACATGAGAGTCAGCGTTGAGTGATTATCTCACTGAGAGTCAGTGTTGAGTTGTGATTATCTCACATGAGAGTCAGTGTTGAGTGTGATTATCTCATCTGAGAGTCAGCGTTGAGTGTGATTATCTCACCTGAGAGTCAGTGTTGAGTGTGATTATCTCACCTGAGAGTCAGTGTTGAGTGTGATTATCTCATCTGAGAGTCAGTGTTGAGTGTGATTATCTCACCTGAGAGTCAGCGTTGAGTGTGATTATCTCATCTGAGAGTCAGTGTTGAGTGTGATTATCTCACCTGAGAGTCAGTGTTGAGTGTGATTATCTCACCTGAGAGTCAGCGTTGAGTGTGATTATCTCGTCCTCAGGTTCCAGCAGTTTGCAAGCATAGGCGATGTTGATGGCTGTCTCCTGTTTGTCCCCTGTCAGAACCCAGATCTGGAGCCCTGCCTTCCGCAGCGACGCAATGGTCTCTGGGACACCATCTTGTAGACGGTCCTCTATACCAGTTGCTCCTAGAAAACCATACAAAGATCAACATAACCCTTCTAGAGGTCTTCAGTGGACATCAGTGTTGCAGGTATGCAGTACTAGTGTGATCCTCCCTGGGGCCTCAAGCAAACATTGTTATTTTGGGGGAATAGAGGTGATGAACGAGAGCTATAATAACGGTAGGCTAATTAACACATTAAAACGTAAGCCTAATGCATTTGCCGTTGGTAAGAAGATTGCATAGCAGCATGCCGCCTAATATATTTATTTCACATTTATTATATAGGCCTAAAATCAGGACTATTCAACCAGGGGTCTGCAGAGGTACTGCAGGGGGTCAGCGAAAATATATACAAAAATACAAAATAATAATAATAATAATAATAATAATAATAATAATAATAATAATATGCCATTTAGCAGACACTTTTATCCAAAGCGACTTACAGTCATGCGTGCATACATTTTTACGTATGGGTGGTCCCGGGGATCGAACCCACTACCCTGGCGTTACAAGCGCCGTGCTCTACCAGCTGAGCTACAGAGGACCACAAAAAAGTTGAAAATACTGTATATATATATTTTTTAAATGTTTATGAATATTGCTGGAAACAACAGAATAAACTACTTTGAAATGACATACCTACAGTGGAAAAGAAGAGAATCTTCTTTCTAATGATGTCAACTTTATTTCTCAACTCCTAATATTGAGCAAATTACACTGATTGGAGCCAATTACACTGATTGGAGTCTCTGACACAGGGTTTGAAAAGGCACCTGCGAATAGGCTTCCAGTGTGGCAAGAAAAACTATTTCTCAAGGAAGAGTTTTGCTAGGAGAGGTCTGAGTAGTGTTATTGGTCTGTTAACCAATTTACCGGCTGGTGACAGTCCTGTGTAGATTGATTGTATTTCCAACCAGCAACTATCAGGAAATAACACTGATAAAACAGTTTCACACTTTTACAGTGTTCGTTTCATTAGCTGTTGCACAATATGATACAAAACACAGGAAAAACTGAATGTTGACTGCACTGGGCCTTTAACCAGCTAAACAGCTGCTCTTAGCAGAAATATGTGTGGAGTTAGCCTATTAGCTAGAAAGGTATGTTTGAGTTCACACTTCCTCTTTCAATTATATTGTGGGGAAGTCAAAAATAATGAAACACTCTCTACCAAATCTCCAAAATGACTAATTTGAGGTAGAAATTAGTTGGATCACTCAACAAAAAAGGCAGAGTATTTATTTTAGCTGACTTTAATCCATTGTTCAGGATGAGTACAGGTGACTGACGTTTTGACGTCAAGCTGAGGTCTTCTTCAGAGTGCCTAAACGTCAGTCACCTCTACTCATCCTGAACAACGGATTAAAGTGAGCTCAAATGAATTATTCTCAAATCAAAATCACATTTTATTGGTCACATGCGCCGAATACAACACGCCCTTAACTAACAATGCAGTTCAAGAAAGAGATAAGAAAATATTTACTAAATAAACTAAAGTACAACCAAATGTAAAAAAAATTAAAAGTTACAATAAAATAACAATAACGAGGCTATATACAGGGGTCAATGTGTAGGGGTACAGGTTAGTCCAGGTAATTGAGGTAATTTGTACATGTAGGTAGGGGTAAAGTGACTATGCATAGATAATAAACAGCGAGTAGCAGCAGAGTAAAACCGTAGGGGGGTGTTCAGCAGTCTTATGGCTTGGGGGTAGAAGCTGTTAAGGAGCCTTTTGGACCTAGACTTGGCGCTCCGGTACCGCCTGCCGTGCGGTAGCAGAGAGAACAGTCTATGACTAGGGTGGCTGGAGTCTTTGGTACCGCTTGTCGTGCGGTAGCAGGGAGAACAGTCTATGACTAGGGTGGCTGGAGTCTTTGGTACCGCTTGTCGTGCGGTAGCAGAGAGAACAGTCTATGACTAGGGTGGCTGGAGTCTTTGCCCATTTTTGGGGCCTTCCTCTGGAAGCTTGGCCCCAGTGATGTACTGGCCTGACCAGCCTTTCAAAGCACTTCATGGCTACCGACATGAGTGCTACGGGGCGGTAGTCATTTAGTCAGGTTACCTTCGCTTTCTTGGGCACAGGGACTATGGTGGTCTGCTTGAAACATGTTGGTATTACAGACTCTGTCAGGGAGAGGTTGAAATCAACATGTTGAAATGAATAGGTTTGGTAGAAAATAGTTCAGCTTCAGCAAACACTGGAAAGGAGGGTCGACAAAAATCATCAGCTTAACAAGAAAAACTTCCAAAAGGACTAATTCAAGGATGAAAGGAGTTGGAGAATTCAACAAAAAGGATGTACACGAATCGATTTGGTTGCTAAACAACCAATCCGTCTATAGGTGGCATGCATTTAAAAAGATTAAAACATTCTGCACACACCTCTTCAGAAATGTGATCAAATTTGCCATTGCGCTTTAGAAACTGGCATTGCCCAGTACCAACATCTCCTAATCATACAGCAAATGGGGGTGTTTTTGTTACCATAAAAGTTGAAGAGGTGTGGGCGGCAGGTAGCCTAGGGGTTAAAGCATTGGGTCCGTAACAGGAAGGTTGCTGGTTGGAATATCCGAGCCAACTACGTTAAAAATCTGTCGATGTGCCCTTGAGCAAGGCACTTAATCCTAACTTCGTACAGGGGCGCCTATAACACAACACATTTCACGCCACCTATCAGCTGACAATAAAATAGTATTAATACTATATTTTTAAAAAAATGTTTAAAAAAAAAAATGAATGGAGGGCGTTTCCCAGGCGGGGTTGTAACGAACGAGCTCAGAAATATAGTATGGCTTTGATTTATCAATGAAAACATGCGTATCCATGTTTGTTGGGTGCGACAGTTTGATAAATCCCAATAATTTGTTGCGAATGCAAAACCTAGAAACTCCCAGAATTGAGTTCCAAATTTACATATAATTATATATCATAATTCATAAGTGTTGCTGGCTTACCTTAACACTACAACATTTAATTAATTAATTTAATTACTGTGCCATTTTTAAAAGACATGCCCCGCTCCGTCCTTGACTTGGCCAGTTGATAATCGGCCCGATAATTGCCTCAACTGAACCTAAACTATACCGAAACTAATTTCACACATATAACAACAGATGAAGTAAAGTATGATGGGGAGAAAGGGGGAGAATGGGTGAGTTGATGAGTGAGGGGGAAGTGGACAATACATCATTATGTAATCACCAACTGGGAATGAAGAACAAGGCCATTCTATTGTATGGTTCCATTCTAATTATAATCTCTAAATGATATGTACCTTACATCAGCCGTTGTACTCCACAACCCACAATGGTGCTGAAGAATGACATCACTCTACCAACGCAAGGCTAGAAAGAACGTTTCTGTCATGGACACCATACATCTGACAGTTTCCATCGACAGGACGCAAGAAAGGGACCGCACCTCAACCAAACAAAGGTCTGTCAATATTACAGAATACGTATCGCCATATATAGATTCATTTATTCAATATGCTCACTGTTTAACGCGTGTTGTTTTTCCTATGGGAAAATAATCCTAATGTATTTTATAGCCTCCCGAGTGGTGCAGTGGTCTAAGGTCGTAGCCGGCCGCGACCGGGAGACCCATGGGGCGGCGCACAACTGGCCCAGCGTCGTCCAGGGTAGGGGAGGGAATGGCCGGCAGGGATGTAGCTCAGTTAACGTTACTAGTAGCAGGGAAACATACTGTTGACCCGGCAACACAAGTAACGTTACTAGTAGCAGGGAAACATACTGTTGACCCGGCAACACAAGTAACGTTACTAGTAGCAGGGAAACATACTGTTGACCCGGCAACACAAGTAACGTTACTAGTAGCAGGGAAACATACTGTTGACCCGGCAACACAAGTAACGTTACTAGTAGCAGGGAAACATATGTTGACCCGGCAACACAAGTACGTTACTAGTAGCAGGTCGGTGGATTTGTGTGTGGGTGTGTGGTGTGTGTGGGTGGGTGGGTATGTGGATGTGGGTGGGTCAGTGTGTGTGTGTGGGTGGGTGGGGTGTGTCGGTGGGAGTGTGTGGGTGGGTCAGGTGTGGGTGGGTGGTGGTGTGGGTGTGTGGTTGTGTGGGTGGGTGTGTCGGTGGGTGTGTGTGTGTGTGGGTGGGGGGGGTGGGTGTGGATGGGTGTGTGTGGGTGGGTAGGTGTGTGTGTGTGGGTGGGTGTGGGTGGTGGTGTGTGGTGGGTGTGTGGGTGGGTGTGTCGGTGTGTGGGTGTGTGTGGATGTGTCGGTGGGTGTGTGTGTGGCGGGTCGGTGTGTGGGTGTTTTTGGGTGGGTGTGTGTAGGTGGGGAGAGTATGTGTGGTGTGGGTGGGGTGTGGGGTGGGTGGTGTGTGTGTGGGTGTGTCGGTGGGAGTGTGTGTGTGTGTGTGTGGGTCGGTGGGTGAGTGTGTGGGTGTGTGGGTGTTGGGTGTGTGGTGGGGAGTGTGTGTGTGGGTGGGTGTGGTATGTGGGTGTGTGTGTGGGAGGTGTGTGGGATGGGTGGTGTGTGTGGGTGGGTGTGTGTCGGTGGGAGTGTGTGGGGGTGTCAGTGTGTGGAGTGTGTGGGTGGGTGTGTGGGTGTGTCGGTGGGAGTGTGTGGGTGGGTCGGTGTGTAGGTGTGTGTGTGTGTTTGTCGTATGGGTTAATGATTCAGCAATCAGGGGGGCAGAGAGCTGCAGCAAAAATGGATCAAGTATATCAGCCCCAGTGATTTGTGTGGGTGGGTGGGTGGGTGGGTGTGTGTCGGTGTGTGGGTGTGTGTGGGTGGGTGGGGTGTGTGGGTGGGTGGGTGTGTGTGGGTGTGTGGGTGTGGGGTGTGTGGGTGGGTGGGTGGGTGGGTGGTGTGGGTGGGTGGGTGGGTGGGTGTGGGGTGTGGGGTGTGGGTGTGTGGGTGGGTGGGTGGGTGGGTGTGTGGGGGTGTGGGTGGGTGTGTGGTGGGGTGAGGTGTGTGGGGTGGGTGTGGGTGGGTGGGTGTGTGGCGTGTGTGGGTGTGGTGGGTGTGTGGGGTGGGGTGGGGGGTGGTGTGTGGGGGGTGGGTGGTGTGTGGGTGTGTGTGGTGTGTGGGTGTGTGGGTGGGTAGTGTGGGTGTGTGTGTGGGTATGTGTGGGTGTGTGGGTGTGTGTGTGACTCAATACACTGCTTTTTATTTAAATGTTTTTACATATAGTGTACAGTAATAAACTAATGGCAATGCTATTTTATTTTATTTGAAATGAAAAATAAATAAATATTCTAATGTTACCTAACACCTTCATGAACATAACCAAATTATTATTTTAGCATAGCATTATATTACATGTATTAATTACACTGTTAGAATGTCGCAGTCAAAAGAACTGCTAGGTAGGTTGAAGAGGCCCAGCGGTTCTAGTGTTAAGGGTAACCATCTTAGCTAATAGATGCAGGTTAGTCTCCAGTCTCAGAGCTGACAGACAGACAGCAGACCCCTCTCCCTCTCCCTCCAGGTTAGTCTCCAGTCTCAGAGCTGACAGACAGACAGCAGACCCCTCTCCCCCTCCCTCCAGGTTAGTCTCCAGTCTCAGAGCTGACAGACAGACAGCAGACTCCTCTCCCCCTCCCTCCAGGTTAGTCTCCAGTCTCAGAGCTAACAGACAGACAGCAGACCCCTCTCCCCCTCCCTCCAGGTTAGTCTCCAGTCTCAGAGCTGACAGACAGACAGCAGACCCCTCTCCCCCCTCCCTCCAGGTTAGTCTCCAGTCTCAGAGCTGACAGACAGACAGCAGACTCCTCTCCCCCTCCCTCCAGGTTAGTCTCCAGTCTCAGAGCTGACAGACAGACAGCAGACCCCTCTCCCCCTCCCTCCAGGTTAGTCTCCAGTCTCAGAGCTGACAGACAGACAGCAGACCCCTCTCCCCTCCCTCCAGGTTAGTCTCCAGTCTCAGAGCTGACAGACAGACAGCAGACCCCTCTCCCCCTCCCTCCAGGTTAGTCTCCAGTCTCAGAGCTGACAGACAGACAGCAGACCCCTCTCCCCCTCCCTCCAGGTTAGTCTCCAGTCTCAGAGCTGACAGACAGACAGCAGACCCCTCTCCCCCTCCCTCCAGGTTAGTCTCCAGTCTCAGAGCTGACAGACAGACAGCAGACCCCTCTCCCCCTCCCTCCAGGTTAGTCTCCAGTCTCAGAGCTGACAGACAGACAGCAGACCCCTCTCCCTCTCCCTCCAGCTTACCTAATAGATGCAGGTTAGTCTCCAGTCTCAGAGCTGACAGACAGACAGCAGACCCCTCTCCCTCTCCCTCCAGGTTAGTCTCCAGTCTCAGAGCTGACAGACAGACAGCAGACCCCTCTCCCCCTCCCTCCAGGTCAGTCTCCAGTCTCAGAGCTGACAGACAGACAGCAGACCCCTCTCCCCCTCCCTCCAGGTTAGTCTCCAGTCTCAGAGCTGACAGACAGACAGCAGACCCCTCTCCCCCTCCCTCCAGGTTAGTCTCCAGTCTCAGAGCTGACAGACAGACAGCAGACCCCTCTCCCCCTCCCTCCAGGTTAGTCTCCAGTCTCAGAGCTGACAGACAGACAGCAGACCCCTCTCCCCCTCCCTCCAGGTTAGTCTCCAGTCTCAGAGCTGACAGACAGACAGCACTCCCCTCTCCCCCCTCCCTCCAGGTTAGTCTCCAGTCTCAGAGCTGACAGACAGACAGCAGACCCCTCTCCCCCTCCCTCCAGGTTAGTCTCCAGTCTTAGAGCTGACAGACAGACAGCAGACCCCTCTCCCTCTCCCTCTCCCTCCAGGTTAGTCTCCAGTCTCAGAGCTGACAGACAGACAGCACTCCCCTCTCCCCCTCCCTCCAGGTTAGTCTCCAGTCTCAGAGCTGACAGACAGACAGCAGACCCCTCTCCCCCTCCCTCCAGGTTAGTCTCCAGTCTCAGAGCTGACAGACAGACAGCAGACGCCTCTCCCCCTCCCTCCAGGTTAGTCTCCAGTCTCAGAGCTGACAGACAGACAGCAGACCCCTCTCCCTCTCCCTCCAGGTTAGTCTCCAGTCTCAGAGCTGACAGACAGACAGCAGACCCCTCTCCCCCTCCCTCCAGGTTAGTCTCCAGTCTCAGAGCTGACAGACAGACAGCAGACCCCTCTCCCCCTCCCTCCAGGTTAGTCTCTAGTCTCAGAGCTGACAGACAGACAGCAGACCCCTCTCCCCCTCCCTCCAGGTTAGTCTCCAGTCTCAGAGCTGACAGACAGACAGCAGACCCCTCTCCCTCTCCCTCCAGGTTAGTCTCCAGTCTCAGAGCTGACAGACAGACAGCAGACCCCTCTCCCCCTCCCTCCAGGTTAGTCTCCAGTCTCAGAGCTGACAGACAGACAGCAGACCCCTCTCCCCCTCCCTCCAGCTTACCTAATAGATGCAGGTTAGTCTCCAGTCTCAGAGCTGACTGAAAGAGCAGCTCTTCTCTTCCCTGTATGGCCGTCTCTGCCTCCAGATGGTGTCGCAACCAGACAGCATACTCCTCCTTAGTGATAACCTGACACACACACACACACACACACACACACACACACACACACACACACAGAGGAAGAAAATGTCCTTTATTTGATCAGGGAGTCATACTGAGACCAAGGTCCTTTATTTGATCAGGGAGTCATACGGAGACCAAGGTCCTTTATTTGATCAGGGAGTCGTACTGAGACCAAGGTGTCTTTTACAGATGAGCCATGAATTACAGAAATTACAGAAAATACACACATCAATATAAATACAAAATGCAAGCAGAAAGAAAAACAGTCATAAAAACATTAATCAGTAATAAGGTCCTCAACCAGCTTTCTGAGGAACCAAAACATCACATTTAAGAACATTTAGAAGATTGTTCCACAACTAAGGTGCAAGAAAACTTAAAAGCTGATTTATGTCTAAAAAGTTTAGTAATGATGTTGGGTACAGTGGGACTTTTTGTAAAAGGGCTTTATACATGAAAACATAGCAACGTATTAACTTACGTGACATCAAAGATGGCCAACCAACATTCTGATAGAGAACAGTGATGAGTACCAAACCAGTAGTTCATATAGATGATGTCACCATAGTCTAATCCTGTCACCCGTAGTAAAGTGCAGTGCTATATGATAAACTGCACCTAACGGCTTTAATGGCAGCTGCGTTCATATACTGTCGATGATGTCACCATAGTCTAGCACCGATCAAAACGTTGACTGAATAATCTGCTTTCTACTATGTAGCGAGATGCAGGACCTGTTTCTATAGAACAAGCCCATTTTTATTCTCAGCTTCTTAACTAACTCATCAATATGCTTTTTAAAAAGACAGTTTTTCATCTATCCAGACGCCCAGATATTTGTAAGCAGGGACACGATCAATATGGACACCATCCAAAGTACATATGATTAAATCAGAGTTATTTTTATGCGCTCTAGAGAACAACATGTTTTACATGCATTCAGTACTAATTTCAAGTCAATAAAGTTTTTCTGTAAAACACAATGAAGCCAGACTGTAGTTCAGGCAGGTTATGTTTTTTTACAGACAAGTCTGTAGTTAATGTAAACAGTAATAAGTACAGGACCCAGAATGGAACCTTTCGCAATATCCAGGAAACCTGGTTTAACAGTCAGTAGATACACATAGAGGTCCATCGGTCAAGTAATTTTTTAACCAGTTAGTTACATGCAGCCTGGTCTAGGCCAATTGAGGAAAGCCTCTGAATTAGCAGTAATATAATATAATATGCCATTTAGCAGACGCTTTTATCCAAAGCGACTTACAGTCATGCGTGCATACATTTTTTGTGTATGGGTGGTCCCGGGGATCGAACCCACTACCTTGGCGTTACAAGCGCCGTGCTCTACCAGCTGAGCTACAGAGGACCAGCAGTGAGTGATCAACAATATTGAAAGCCTTTGACAGGTCAGTGAAGAGGGCAGCACCATGTTGCCTTTTATCCACAATGTTAACAACATGTATAACTATGGATGCAGCAGAGATAATGCTATCACCTGGTCTCAAACCAGACTGATGTACATTTAGAATACATTCCAAAGATAAGTAAGATCTTAGCTGAGAATTAATCAAGGATTCTAATATTTTAGCTAGGTCGAGAAAGTTTAGAAATAGGGCGATAATGATTTAGGTCACAAGGGTCACCACCTTTGTGAAGGGGGAGTACATGGTCCGCCTTCCAAACCTTGGGGATAGTACCAGATATAGTCGTATGGGTTAATGATTCAGCAATCAGGGGGGCAGAGAGCTGCAGCAAAAATGGATCAAGTATATCAGCCCAAGTGGATTTGTTTTTACGTCAATCTTAGCAATCTCTAGCACATCACAGATAGTAAATTGTTTAAATGAAAACAAATATTCACTAGAAGTTGACAGGTCGACCGTAGAGTCAGCTAGAGGCTGGCAGAGGGAAGAGCAGTCCATGGACTGACCAGGGTCAATTAAAACCACTGTTTCTCTCAAATAAAAAGCCTGCCGAGATGATAAAATAACGATTCAAAGCTTCACTTATTCCATTCTTCTCAGTTATGATGCCAGAGTCAGAACTTGCTTAGGCAGGGGAGAAGAGGAATTTGTACGCTTCAGTGCAGTTACTGTTTTCCAAAATGTAGAAGGATCACCAGCAGAGATAGATCTTAAAAAGTAGCTTGATTTAGCTTTTCTGAATCGAGATAGTACATCCGTTTCTCAATTGGCTGAAAGCTTGCCGGTCCACTACAGAGTCAGTTTTCCTTGCTTCAGGCCTGAATGAGCTCAATGATGGAAATAGTTTTTAAAAATAAAAGTCCTGCAAAAGCCCTATTTGTGCTGAAGAGGTATTGTGTATTGCTGAAGCGGTGTTACCTTGTTGGCGATGCAGAGAGTACGGAGACCGTCCGCAGCGTAGAGGTTCAGGTCGTTCTGGGTCTTGTATAGGATCTTTCTTTGGCGTCTCCCTTTGGAATCATCTGAAAAGTGAAAGAGGAACTAAATAAACCTGTGCAAGTTTGCATCAACATCGGCTCCTTCTGTTGTATCTTGCAGGAAAGTTACTTCTCACACACCACCAAACATTTAGGAAACTTTTAAAGTGATATTCAGTAACAGATTCCTCTATAACGTCTTGCACTTCTCACACATCACCACAACCAGCCCACGTGCTGAGATGTCACCGGCTGCTTCTGACTCAGTTCTTAAGAGTCTGGTTTCAACAGACCATTAATCTAGCTGTAATTACAGTCATTACCTCCCTATTCAATCAAACCCGGCACCCAGAAGTTTCAGTGGTATGACAACATTCTTCTTGTCCATTTGGTCATAGCTTTACTAGAGTGAACCTACTGCCGACCGAGGCTGGTCCCAGATCTGTTTGTGCTGTCTTCAGCGTTTTCCTGAAGTACATGGAGTAGCCAGCCAGATAGAAAAGTAGCCAGCCAGGGAGTTCTGGGATGTGGGGGTCCGGGGGGGACATGCCCCTGAAATAGTTTTGGCAGAACAAGCTCTATTGTGTTGCCCTCTGGTACATGTCTTGATTCCATCTGAAATACACAGCTAAATGATTGAATACTTTAACGACTTTACCAGATCAGTTTAACGACTTTCCCAGATCAGTTTAATGACTTTACCAGATCACTTTAACGACTTTACCAGATCAGTTTAACGACTTTACCAGATCAGTTTAACGACTTTACCAGATCACTTTAACGACTTTACCAGATCAGTTTAACGACTTTCCCAGATCAGTAAAATGAGTTGTGGGATAGAGTAGAAAGACATGACTTTACTATTTAAATAACTGAATATGTATGAGTTCAGTTTGTTGTTGTTTTGGATATCGTCTAGGACTTTATGATCAGGACTATTAAGTAAAATAACCTTAAATCTTTTTTAACGTTTAACCTGTCTTCTCTTGAGAATAAATTCATTTTTACAGTTTTACTGCAAGAAATGAATTGCAATCAATATCTTTAATAATACCATACAAGTATCATGACATTAGCCCTGGGAGCCATTTAGTTCCACGTCAGCTAGAGAGAGAGACAGCCAGCCAGCCAGCCAGCCAGCCAGCCAGCCAGCCAGAGACAGACAGACACAGCCAGCCAGCCAGCCAGCCAGCCAGCCAGCCAGCCAGCCAGCCAGCCAGCCAGCCAGAGACAGACAGACAGCCAGCCAGCCAGCCAGCCAGCCAGCCAGCCAGCCAGCCAGACTGCCAGACTGCCAGACAGACGTACCCCACCTTCACAAGGCAGGCTGGTGAGAGAGGGAGAAACACTTAGGGTAAATCAGTGCTTGAAATGGGTGCCAGTACCCATTTTAATTTTACAGTACCGTGTTGGGCCCTGCTGGTGTGCAGGGACGGTATTGGTGGACGGTGAATACAATCTTACCATCTAACCAAGACCTCCTCGTCAATCTCCTAACTCACCTGACCAGACAAGGTTACAAGTAGACATCCCCTAACTCACCTGGCCAGACAAGGTTACAAGTAGACATCCCCTAACTCACCTGGCCAGACAAGGTTACAAGTAGACATCCCCTAACTCACCTGGCCAGACAAGGTTACAAGTAGACATCCCCTAACTCAGCTGGCCAGACAAGGTTACAAGTAGACATCCCCTAACTCACCTGGCCAGACAAGGTTACAAGTAGACATCCCCTAACTCACCTGGCCAGACAAGGTTACAAGTAGACATCCCCTAACTCACCTGGCCAGACAAGGTTACAAGTAGACATCCCCTAACTCACCTGGCCAGACAAGGTTACAAGTAGACATCCCCTAACTCACCTGACCAGACAAGGTTACAAGTAGACATCCCCTAACTCAGCTGGCCAGACAAGGTTACAAGTAGACATCCCCTAACTCAGCTGGCCATGGTTCAGACAAGGTAACACAACGTTTTAAACATCCAGGGTTATCAAGATGTGACAACGCCGTTGTTTTTCACAGAAACTACCTATAATTGAAAGTAATGAATCAGTAGTAGAGATTGACTGGTGCTACTGTAGTGAGAATCTATTCCATTTGTCCAGGTGTGAGAAGACCGAGCCAGCCTCTGTCCCCACGTGGAGATTATATCTATCACTCTGGACCACAGACAAGACTCAATCCTACTGCAGAATGAAGTCTACTGACAGTAAAGAAGGCCGACCACACAGATTACAAATCTCAGTACTACAGATAGGCTAACACACAGTAGACTGTAGGTTACACACCACCCAGACAGACACACATAGATACAACCCTCAGCACAACTGCATGAGTTGGTTAACATCAACAGAATCCCTAAATACGTCACCACCACCTGCAAGTCAACATCCTTACAGAATTATCACTATGACAACATTAAATCACCATCAAGAGGTAACCCAACCTACAATCTCACAACCCTGCTCAAGTATCATATTGACCACTCCTTTCCCCATCTCGGTCCCAGAGTCGTTTGTGCATGTATGACAATGACCATTGAAGTTGGTTACAGAGCACAAACAGACCTGGGACCAGACTACCCTTCCCCTGCCACACAAACAGACCACTACCCCAACCACCCTTTAATCTCCTCCTCCTCGTACAGTGCCTTCAGAAAGTTTTCACACCCCTTGACTTATTCCACATTTTGTTGTGTTACAGCCTGAATTTAAAATTGACATTTATTGTCACTGGCCTACACACAATACCCCATAATGTCAAAGTGGAATTATGTTTTTTTAATTACTTTTTTAAAACAAATTAATTAAACATTAAAAGCTGAAATGTCTTGAGTCAATAAGTATTCAACCCCTTTGTTATGGCAAGCCTAAATAAGTTCAGGAGTAAAAATGTGCTTAACAAGTCACATAATAAGTTGCATGGACTCACTCTGTGTGTAATAATAGTGTTTAATTAACATAATTATTGAATGACTAAATCATCTCTGTGCCCCACACATACAATTATCTGTAATGTCCCTCAGCCGAGCAGTACATTTCAAACACAGATTCAACCACAAAGACCAGGGAGGTTTTCCAATGATTCTAAGATACAGGCCTCCTTCCTAACCCAGTTGCCGGAGAGAAAGGAAACCGCTCAGGGATTTCACCATGAGGCCACTTTAAAACAGTTGCACAGTTTAATGGCTGTGATAGGAGAAAACTGAGGATGGATCAACAACATTGTAGTTACTCCACAACACTAACCTAAATGACAGAGTGAAAAGAAGGAAGCCTGTACAGAATAACAAATATTCCAAAACATGCATCCTGTTTGCAACAAGGCACTAAAGTAATACTGTAAAAAATGTGGCAAAGCAATTAACTTTTTGTCCTGAATACAAAGTGTTATGTTTGGGGCAAATCCAATATAACATCACTGAGTACCCCTTCATATCTTCAAGCATAGTGGTGGCAGCATCAAGTTATGGTAAGGTAGGTAGCCTTGGCTTGTACAAGTCGGAACGGCTCATAGGGCAGGAGCGTGGGGCAGCTTGATGTACAAGTACACCCCCTGGAAGGACGCTAGTCTATCGCAGGGCCTTAACCCACATCTATCTCCTTAATGCTGAGTTCCTCGGCACTCGGCCAGGGATCATGTTATGGGTATGCTGGGGAGTTCTTCAGGATAATAAAGAAACGGAATGGAGCTAAGCTCAGGCAAAATCCTAGAGGAAACGCTGGTTCAGTCTGCTTTCCACCAGACACTGGGAGATGAATTCACCTTTCAGCAGGACAATAACCTAAAACACAAGGCCAAATCTGCACTGGATTTGCATACCAAGAAGACGGTGAATATTCCTGAGCGGCCGAGTTACAGTTTTGACTTAAATCTACAGCAAGACTTGAAAATTGTTCAAATGTTGCACAATCCAGGTTTGGAAAGCTCTTAGAGACTTACCCGAAAGACTCACAGCTGTAATCGCTGCCAAAGGTGCTCCTACAAAGTATTGACTCAGAGGTGTGAATACTTATGTAAATTAGATGCATTTCATTTTCAATAAATATGCAAACATTTCTAAAAACATGTTTTAACTTTGTCATTATGAGGTATTGTGTGTAGATGGGTGATACATTGTTTTCAATTCAGGCTGTAAAACAAAATGTGGAATAAGTTTGAATACTTTCTGAAGACAGTGTACAGGGAGGAGGAGATTAAAAGGTTGGTTAACTCTGGAATACTTTCTGAAGGCACTGTAGGTCAGATTATACCTAATAACTCCAGGCATCATATTGACGAGTCCTCTACCTCCCCTCCCCTGGCCTGCTGTGAGGCCCTCCTACCTGTAGGTGGCAGTGTGATGAGGTCCATGATGACAGAGTCAGCTCCTTTAGTATAGACGGTGATCTGGTCTGTCAGAGGGTGTCTCACCACCACAGACATCCTCTTCCTGGTGGAGTCAAATCCCAGAGTGTGGAGCAGCTCAAAGCTCAACTTCCCTAGGTGAGGTAGCTCCACCGTCACCTGATCAGGTAGCCGGCCAACCAGACAACACTTATAGGCCCGCGCCGCATACACCAGGGCAGCCTCGTCAGGTGACTCTGCCTCGTAGCGCAGCTCGCCTTCCTCCAGGGCCCCAGGCTTTCCCTCGGTAGTGTGAGGAGGGACAGAGGAGAAGGCATGCTCCAAACCCCCCGGACCTCCAGGGTGATGCTCCTCGTCTAATTTAGTCAGGGTGCTCTCAGCGGAGGGGGAGGAGAGGACACTGGAGCATTCGCGGTGGGAGGAGCGGTTGAGGCTGGAAGAGCTGCTGCTGTTGGAGTTGGAGGTGAGACGGCTGGGGGTGAAGCGCTTGATGAAGTCCTCGATAGTCTTCACTGGGGACTTGAGCCCAAACCTCATCCGTACCTGAGAGAGAGAGAGTGAGACAGAGGGTTAGAAACATTAGCTCAAATCTCATCCACACCTGAGAGAGAGACAGTGAGACAGAGGGTTAGAAACATTAGCTCAAATCTCATCCACACCTGAGAGAGAGAGAGACAGTGAGACAGAGGGTTAGAAACTTACCTGAGAGAGAGGGATAGAGAGAGAGAGGGTGTGAGACAGAGAGACAGGGAGTTAGAAATATCAGCTCATCATCTGCACCTGAGGCAGAGAGAGAGGGATAGAGAGAGAGACATGAGACAGAGAGACAGAGAGAGGGAGACATGTGAGACAGAAAGAGCTCCCTCTTTCTGTCTCACATGTCTCCCTCTGTGAGACAGAGGGAGACGTGAGACAGAGGGACAGAGAGAGGGAGACATGTGAGACAGAGGGAGACATCAGACAGAGGGACAGAGAGAGGGAGACATGTGAGACAGAGGGAGACGTGAGACAGAGGGACAGAGAGCGGAAGACATGTGAGACAGAGGGAGAAGTGAGACAGAGGGACAGAGAGAGGGAGACATGTGAGACAGAGGGAGACATCAGACAGAGGGACAGAGAGAGGGAGACATGTGAGACAGAGGGAGAAGTGAGACAGAGGGACAGAGAGAGGGAGACATGTGAGACAGAGGGAGACATCAGACAGAGGGACAGAGAGAGGGAGACATGTGAGACAGAGGGAGACGTGAGACAGAGGGACAGAGAGAGGGAGACATGAGACAGAGAGAGGGAGACATGTGAGACAGACGGAGACGTGAGACAGAGGGACAGAGAGAGGGAGACATGTGAGACAGAGGGACAGAGAGAGGGAGACGTGAGACAGAGGGACAGAGAGACAGAGGGACAGAGAGAGGGAGACATGTGAGACAGAGGGACAGAGAGCGGGAGACATGAGACAGAGGGACAGAGAGAGGGAGACATGAGACAGAGACATGTGAGGCTTCTCTCTGAAACCACACATCCATCTGAAGGTGACGCTTGAAGCAATAGAGGAAATCAACAAGATCCACAAGTATTCTTTCACAATAGCTGGCAGCGGATATTTTTTGCCTGATGCAGGACTCTAGTGCAATAGGGGAGAGGCTAAACATTCACACCTCCATTAATTTACAAAAGGATGATCTACTAGCTGGGCTAGGTGTGATGATCTACTAGCTCGGCTAGGTGTGATGATCTACTAGCTGGGCTAGGTGTGATGATCTACTAGCTGGGCTAGGTGTGATGATCTACTAGCTCGGCTAGGTGTGATGATCTAATAGCTCGGCTAGGTGTGATGATCTACTAGCTCGGCTAGGTGTGATGATCTACTAGCTCGGCTAGGTGTGATGATCTACTAGCTGGGCTAGGTGTGATGATCTACTAGCTCGGCTAGGTGTGATGATCTACTAGCTCGGCTAGGTGTGATGATCTACTAGCTCGGCTAGGTGTGATGATCTACTAGCTCGGCTAGGTGTGATGATCTACTAGCTCGGCTAGGTGTGATGATCTACTAGCTCGGCTAGGTGTGATGATCTACTAGCTCGGCTAGGTGTGATGATCTACTAGCTCGGCTAGGTGTGAAGAATCCCCCAGTTTGTACCACAGTTTAGACTACCGATAGATGCTGCGGTCAGTCAGAGGAGTCCTATTGTAAAGTGTAGCCTAATGGCCAAAAAAGGGCAAACTTGCAATGTATTCGATGCTTAAGTACTCTAAAGTTTTACATTTCTAACTCAAAATCACAGACCATATTTGTCATAACGAAAAATGCATCAACCCCTACAAATATATAAACGTATTATAATCCACATAATAATTCAAATGAAATTAGCTGTAGTAATGTGTCAACACTATTAAATAACACATACGGAATCATGGGGGGGGGGGGGGGGGGGTATACAGAAGATAGCCCTATTGGGAAAAAGACCAAGTCCATATTATGGCAAAAACAGCTCAAATAAGCAAAGAGAAATGACAAGCCATCATTACTTTAAATCAAATCAAATTTCATTTGTCACACGCGCCGAATACAACAGGTGTAGACCTTACAGTGAAATGCTTACTTACAAGCCCTTAACCAACAATGCAGTTTTAAGAAAGAATACCCCCCCACCAAAAAAGAAAAAGAAAAACAATATAAAATAATACGAAATAAAAGTATCAAAATGTTTAAGAGCAGCAGTAAGAACAACAATAGCGAGGCTATATACCGGAGGGGAAACCTCATATAAAAATTATAACGGGGGGGGCCGGGGGACCGGGGAAAAATCAGGGGAATTTACCGGGAGTACCGGTTTACCGGGTCAAAATACGCTATTACCGGGAGGTACCGTTACCGGGGTCAATTACAGGTTTTATACGGGGGGGGCCGGGACCCGGTCAATAACGGGGTTTTACAGGGGGGGGCCCCTACCGGGGTTTTTTAAAGCTATATACCCGGGAGGTACCGGTCCGGGTCAATATAAGGTTTATACCGGGGAGGTACCGGTACCGGGGGTTTAAATACAGGGTTTTCCGGGAGATGGTACCCAGGGGCAAAAATACGGTTATACGGGGTCCCGTACCGGGGCAAAATTTGGGTTAACCGGGGGTACCGGTACCGGGGCAAAATTTCAGGTTTAAAAAAAAGGGGGTACCCGGGACCGGGGCAATATGGGTATATACAGGGGTTACCCCCCCGGTAAACCGGGGCAATAACAGGGTTATCCGGGGGGTGGTAACCGGGATTGGTTTCGGGGACCGGTACCCCGGGGCAATAACCAAAGGGAAAATTTCAAAAGGGGGTACCCGGGGCAATATAAGCTATATAAGGGGGTCCGTCCCCGGGGCAATTACAGGTATATCAGGGGGTACCGGGTCAATATCGGGAATAGGGGGGACCGGACCCCGGGGGCAATTGGCTTTGGCTTTTGGGGGGACCGGGACCCCCGGGTCAAAACGCTAAAAAAACAAGGGGGTCCGGTACCGGGGCAATATAAAGGTATAAACCCCGGGGGGGTACCCGGACCCGGGGGAATATACGGCTATAAAACAGGGGGTACCCCTACCCCTCCAAAAAACAGGGGTATATACAGGGGGGTACCGGGCAAAATACAGGCTTATACAGGGGGTCCCGGGACCGGTGGTCAATATCCGGGGTATACCGGGGGTCCTTTTCCTACGGTATATACCGGTTTTTTTAAACCCCCCAGGGCAAAATACAGGGTATTAGGGGACCGGGACCCCCGGGTCAATATACGGTATAAACCCAGGGGTCCCGGTCAATTACAGGTATATACCGGGTTACCGTACCGGTCAATATACGGGTTATACCGGGAGGTACGGACCCGGGGAAAAACGGCATATCCGAGGACCGGACCCATCAATAAACTAATGGGGGACCTACGATTCTTAAGCTTAAAACGGGGTAGGTAAAGGGTAATATAAAGGGGGTTTTTTTGGGGGACCGGGGGTATACAGGCCCATATCCGGGGGGTAGGGTAAACCCGGGCAAAATACAGGGTATATACCGGGGGGTACCGGGACCGGGTCAAATACGGCTAATAAGGGGTTTCGGGTCTTGTTTTTGGGGTTAGGTACCCCGGGCAATATAAAGGCATTAAACCGGGGTACCGGTACAGCCAATTACAGGCTAATTTCAGGGGGGACCGGGTCCCAAAATACAGGCTTATACGGGGGCCCGGACCCCGGAATTGGTTTTCGGGGGTCCCCGGGACCGGTCAATTTAAAAGGCAATTTCAGGGGGGTACCGGGTCAATTCAGGCTATATACCGGGATAGGTACCCGGTCAATTTTTTTGGTTTAAAGGGGGGACCGGGTCAAAATACAGGGTATATACGGGGACCGGAGGGTCAAATACCCGCAAACCCCCCGGGTACCGGTACCGGGGGATTACAGGCATTAAAAAGGGGGCCGGGCCCCTAATAAAAACAAAAAACAGGGGGACCGGGACCGGGGAAATACAGGGTAATACAGGGGTAGGCCAGTAAAAGGGGGTTTCCTAAGGTACCCGGGACCGGGTCAATATACAGGTATATACGGGGGTAAAACCCGGGGCAAAACAGGGTATATACCGGGAGTACCGGTACCCGGGTCAATATACGCTATATCCCCCGGGCGGTACCGGACCCCGGTCATATAAGGCTAATACAGGGGGGTACCGGGAATATACAGGGTATATAAAGGGGGGACCGGTAAAACCCCCCGGTCAAAAAACAGGTAATACGGGGGTACCGGGCCCCAAAATATAAAACTATCTTGGGGTACCTCAAAAAGGCTATTCAGGGGGTTTACCTTTACCTCAATTTGGCTATTACAGGGGGGGGGACCGGTACCGAGTCAATATACAGCTAAAAAAGGGGCCGGGAAAAAACAGGGATGGGAGGTAAAAGGACCGGTCAAATTTCGGCTTAAAAACGGGGGGACCCCGGGTCAATAAACAGGCTATATACGGGGGAAAACCCACCTCTCAACCCAATTCCGGGGGGGGAACTCCCTCCAATCAGGCTAAGGGGGTCCGGTCCGATCAAAACACATATAAGGGGGCCTAATCAATTACAGGCTTAAATTTTTAAAAAACCTACCGATCAAAAAAAAGCCAAAAAGCTAAGTTACGGGGGGACCGGTACCCCCGGGGGCTAAAAGGCTATTACCGGGGCCGTCCCGAGCAAACCAAAAGGGGACCGGTGAAAAACAAAAAAAAAGGGGGGTTCCGGGGGGGGGCCCCCCCTTCAAAAAGGCCAAAAGGGGGAGGTACCCGGGCAAATAACCAAACCGGGGGCCGGTAACCCCTCAATATAAGCTATATCGGGATATTTCCCCCTAAACCCCGGGAAATACAGGTTAACAACCCTACCATCAAATACAGGTTTTACCCCCGTACCGATCTATCTGCTTTCCCGGGGGGGGCCCCCCCGACAAACCTAATCCATCCGGGACCCCCAAACCGCAAACCTCCTTACCATCAAGTGGGGGGGACCCTTTTTTAAAAGGGGAAAAATTTAAAA